TTGTAAACCACTGGCGCGATACAGGGTTTGGTGATTGCCATATTAGTTTGATGGTGAAGGCCATTATTAAAGCATATTGTGGCATAAGGGCCAAACATATGGCACGAGAGTTTAATGACCAAGCTTCTGCAGTTAATATAAGAAAAAAATTGTCAAAGTTAATTATATTTCAGCACCAGTGAAGAAAGTTTTTCGTCATTTTCTCAACAGGTCATGCTTTGGCAATGAATAATTTTAAAATAAAGTTATTAAACAAGGTCAATCATTGTCTATTTGTATCACATTTTTCATCCTGGCATGGCCAAAATTATGTAATGTGGGTGATAATTTGGAATGCTATCAACGGATACCTAAAATAAATTTTAAGTTTAAAATTTGTTTTAAGAAGAAGTATTTCTAGTCTTTTCTGAACAAGTACTGGTTCATACCTTTCATCTCGTACGTTTTCATTTGTGCGATATAAAATGAAACGCTTTTTTTGCCACTACTGTTTTCAATTTTGTCCTATTTGTGTCATTACTCTTGTTTCACGATTATTAGTTACAATAAATTAACATGCTTTATTATAGGTATAATGTAAAATGTGAACCGCCAACCTTATTCATGTGGGGGAGATGTTTACTTAGTGTGTGTTATTATTTGTTTGGTTTGTTGGCTAATGACTGGATGTTAAATAAACTTCGCTATCTATCCAAGTTTTCTGATTCTTATTATATTTTTATGTCCTGTTCACACGGGCGGCTATTCAAACGGGCGCTTAATCAAGACCGGGCGGTTAAACGAGCATATACGGTATGTTATGAAAAGTTTTTTTGAACATTGGAAATCGAATATATTCTAAATTGGAAACAACTTCATTTGGAAAATTACAATAATCAATGTCTTAGCTCCGATAATATTTTAATTAGCAAAAAATGGTATTAAGGCGCACAAAATATGAAGCCGGGCTAGGTAAACTATGGCCAAATACAAGAAAATGGGTTGGCGATTCCGGTAAGCCACTCGGAGCAATGTAGCCTACTGTGTGATTGGTTAGGCAATATTATTCATCCACGATTAATGCAAAATGAAAAATTAGCACGGTATGGCGAGCTTGGATGTATTAGCGTTTCATACCTAATAAGAAACGAATCAAGATCAAGCGAATATACAAAAAAAATCGACGCAAATAATTGGTATCTGTCAAATCCCATATGAAATACATTACGCGCTACGCAAAATTTGGAAGTCTAACGTCAAAACGAGAGAGGCTTCAAATGGTCCCGCGAAAACGAGAGAGAAGCACACTCTATATTTATATAACTCTGTGATTTGAATAGCAGGTGAACCACTGAAGCGTGAAATGTGGTGTGCTAGAGTTACCCTGTAATGGACCTTTCCCCGAGCATCGACTTCCTTGTTTACTTCGTGACATTGGCCAATCAGCAAGATGAAAAAAGTGACGTAACAATGTCCCCTTTTTGCATCCGCTCAGACACTTTTCTCACTCAGACAGATTTTCAAGCGTGGTTGTAAACATTACCTCGTTTTCGCGTTTTTGAACTCTATTCGTTAGTTTTCAGTTGTGTTTCGGAAACTTAAATGAAAATCAGATAATTCAATGATCACTCTGTCTTCCTAGGAGTTTTAATTTAATTGCAGTAATAAAAATTAGTGTAGAAATAGCTGTGATAGACGAGCCTGAAATTCTTTACCGGTACTTTGAAAAAAACGATTGTTGTGTGCAATGAATCATAATGATGGTTTGAAACACATACCCCATTTTACAGGCGCCAACTCGCAAAAGCGCTCCTAAAATAGCACTAAAAATTTTGCAATTGTAAAGTATAGGAAGAATTTTCCGGGGGTCAAAGGTCGGGAAAAGGTCCATGTGTTGTTTGTTCCAACGAACAAACGTTCCTCATGTTTTACCAACAAAAGCTTGAAAGCAGCGATATTGAAACGCCATCTTACAGCAAAGCATCCAAAATTCATTAAAAAACCAATATATTTTTTCCGCCTATCAGCGTTTTTATACATAAAATACAATTACAGATCAAGGCTAGAGGTAGAAAAATATCTTCGAGTTGCCGTCTCCCAAATTAAACTTCGATTTGATATGTTGTGTATTATACACAAAGCTTATAATTTGCATTAGTCATAATAAACGCTATTATTCGCAATTTTATGTGCTAAGTTTCATACAATTTTGTGCAAAAAAAATGCTAGTGTCGACAATAGTCTTAAAATCGATAACTAATTACATGTTTACCAAATGCTTGGGTCGCAAGAAGTTAGAAAAACTTTTTTGGGACGCGCTAAAAAGTATTTGCGGACCCCTGTCCTAGATTGTCTCTCAAGCAATATAAAACTTGTCCAAATATAATATAAGGTTAGTGAGATATGAGGTTTCAAACTTCAAAGTTGCATAACTCACACGGAATAATAAGATAGATACCAGTATTATTCCACTAGGCAAATAGGCAAACTTACTCGAATAAAATGCAAAACAATAACAAATCTCCAAACAAATTGACTAACGAAACCTTATAAGCAGACTGACTGTAAATTCGATCATTTCATTTCGCGTTTTTATGGGGACGAAATAAACAAGTTTCGGTAAGATCATTGAAGTGTGAAGTTATGAATCATTAATTCTGCATATGTGCAGTTAAAGCAAAACTAGATTATTATAAACTTTTTATAACGAAGTAAACCAACACGCAATGTCCACGAAGCGTAAAGGTTCGGAAGAGCACAGAATATTTAAAGAGAAGTGGGAGGATCTGTATTTTGTTTTAAATTATAATAACAAGGTTCAGTGTCTCATATGTTGTGCAATTATTGCTGTTCGAAAGGAATACAACATTTGATGACATTACGACCTATTACATAGGGGGAAAACACCATGTCTATACTGAAACAATTTGTCACGAAAAGGCATCGCAATTAAAATTTTTACTGATGAAACAGAGAATTTTTTTTCAGTCATAAACAAAACTTGTGAAGCTTCAGTGAGAGCAAGCTTCTCCATAAGTGAGATGATTGCAAAATAGTCGCGTTCTTTCGTTGAAGGAAGCTTTATAAAAGGGTGTATGTTGAAGGCATGTGAAGTAATAGCAGCATTAGTTTTGATTCAACAATTAAAGTTAACAAATCAGCCTTTCGCTCACGACTAACAGACGAACGTTTGCATGCTGTTTTAAGACTAGCAAACCAACCCCAAATAAAGCCAAACATCGAGTCTCTCGTCGCTACAAAACGTCGCTTTCAATTTTGTACCTAATTTGTTGGTTTGTGGCCCGCGTCGTCGATAAATTTTCAAAAAGTGGCCCGTGACGTATTTTGAGTTGGAGACCCCTGATCCATAACATACGTCTGAAGCAGATATTATTTGAACTGGTACTGTGATACCTGTTCACATCATGCCGAACGTTTGAAGCCTGCGTTTTGCATTAATCATTCAAGAAGCTGATAAAATGTCCGAATTTTCTCGGGACAATTTTTCTTGATTTAACGAGCTGTTGCAACAGTTGCTTCAAAAATTATAGAATGTAAACGGTATCATGGCTAGCCCATTGTGCGGTATGAAAAGTTTCATCGAGGTGTACAAGTTGCACATTATAACGTACAAAATTTGAAGACCAGTTGCCGCGACTGGTGTTACAGCACTTATCAAGTTATTGTCAGGATATTTCGATTCCTTTGCGTCGGAAAATGTAAAATATTTACTAGGTGATCTAGCGACGCCATCATGTCTTCCACGTTCTCGTTGATAAAACCTAATTGTAATTTTAATGATATCCAACAGTGAGGGGGTGGGGTTCAAATTTTTTGGTTTGGCCATTTAGTTACGTCCCATAATCAGATACCAAACGTATATATCATGGCCCTTGTTTTTTAGGAATTATTATCTATGTTTAACCCTGCTAAAACGCTTAATCAATCGTTACCACAATCGTTACTTAACCCTTTTTCGGTCTTACACACATGATAAAAATTGATAGTTTTACCCAATATTTATGCCACCCATCCAAAAAAAGCAATCGTATTTTTGCGCGAAGTAGAAACTATATTTCGCGCCAATATTAATGCCTTTCATAATATATGTTCGCCAAGTTATTTTTGTGACAGATAAAGTTGACTGCTTGAAATATAATTTCCCATCTTGCCACAATGTCGCTTTTAAAATTTTGAAACGTTTTCTTAATATGAGGTTAAATATTCACGCAAAAAAGGTGGCAAATAAAATTATTGAACACAGTATGCTAGTAAAACTGCAGCAATAGCTCATGTGACATAGATAATATATATTATTTTATACACTCCAGATTATGGGATGTTCTTGTAACCTTGATATATACCGTTATTCTCCATTTCATGCATGTATAGGGTTACCATATTTTTTTGACTTCAAAGCGGGACGCCTCCAAAGACACGACCCCTTAGCTGTAATCCTGTAACTTTACAGTTTCCGATACTGCATAGGCCTACATTTAAAGTCATCCCGGCTGTCTTCATTGACCATATTGTCATCGAGAGTTCATGCGCGTATTCTCTGTCTAAATATCGGGTTCAGTTCGAAAAATAAAAAGAAATAGACGCTAACGATACAAATGATCCGAATTTAGATTTTTTTTGTACAGCAAAAGGAATAAAGAATAATGAGATAGTCTGCCGTTTTCAAGCATTGAGAATTTACTTATTCGCCCAAGCATGCTTTTCTGTAGATAACAACCTTCAAAAAGACGTTGCTGAATGTTACATTCACGTGAACGTCCGAACAGGACCAATAAGAATTGATTTTACATGTGATACTTCGCTAACAATGTTAGCGGTAAACAACGAAACAAACAAAATAACGCATTCACCTTCAGTAAGTAGGCTAGCGTTGCGCTACACAGTAACAACAGTAACGAGAACATGTACGTGTATTATGATGGATGACTGAACGCAAAAGCGGGACATTTAGCTGACTTGTGGGGACGGCGGGACAAGACACTAAAAAGCGGGACTGTCCCGCCTAAAGCGGGACGTATGGTAAGCCTATGCATGTAGTATATTTTTTTAATATATTTTAGCGATGTACACCGTGTTGAAAATTTCATCATGTACAAATATAGTTGCAAGTTTCTGTAGTGTAATTTGTATTATAATTCTGTTTAACTTTTATAATAGAAATGAGCATCGTTTTTAATGGTAGTAGTATATATTTACGGTCTAACGATCGCAGGTTTAAATCACTTAGTTAGGAATTAGGATCATACAGCGATAGAACTCTGGACACAAAATGGCGGGTGTGACGTCACCCAAGCGTTTATAACGTTACCAATGCATGTCCTCACTTGTGTTATAGTCACTTTGGCTAAAACAAACCGAGGCTGCCGCGCTACCTCGATTCACCAGACTCATAATGGCGTCCGATATGCATCATTGCACTCGTTGTCACCACTTGGTTTATAGTCACTTTGATCACACCACAGCACACGCTAACAGCCAAACCAAAGGACAGATCGACAGGTATATATGGGCTTTGAGATCGACAGAGTCACAGCGCCCTCGGTGTTGAAAATACAAAATATAGTGTGGCGCACCTGCCGGCACGCTGACAACCAGCTAAAAAAGAAAGATACTCAGCTGCTCACTAGTGACTCAAGTGATTGGAATAAATATGGTCATACAGAATAAAACAGAGTTATAGACGTGGTCGTCTCAATAGCAATAAGATCACATGACATCATTCAACAGATAAAACGAGAATATCGGTCGGAGACCGAAGACTTATCGATCAACAACAACAACAAAAACGAGTATATCGGTCAGAGACCGAAGACTTATCGATCGAAACTGCGGTTTGATTCATGACTCTATAGTGAGACCGCGTGTCCCATCACTAATTAATTAATAACTCGCTAATTATACGACATATTTCATCCTAAATCAATAGGCTTCTGGTTCGAGATATGATGAATGCATATGCTAAATTTGGAGGAGATTCAGCCTCGCTTTCGTGAGATATCGCGTAACATACGAAAGTGTCCAACAGACAAAGACACAAACACACAAACAGACAAATCGTAAATATATACTACTACGGACAAATACCTATTAACATACTTACCGATCTTTAGACCGATAAGTAACAAGGGTCGTTACACACGTTATATGGACTTTGAATCAACAATTATACATGATAAATAATTTTTTTTGTATAATATTTAATATTTGGCAGAAAACATATTGGCGGTAAAAAAATGGATAATTAAAATGACATCTGACAAATAAAAAAAAATTTGTCCGGTGAGCAAGTTCTGAAGTTGTAAATTTGTGTTATTACTCATCGATTTTAATCGGTAAGTATGTTAATAGGTATTCGTCTGTCTGTCTGTCTGTCTGTTAGATGCACGCGATATCTCACGAAAGCGAAATTGAATATGCTCCAGATTTTGCAAGTGCATTCATCATATCTCGGACCAGAAGCCTATTGATTTTGGGCGAATTATGTCGTATATTTAGCGTTAGGTATTATTATTATTAATAAATTAGTGATGGGACACAAGGTGTCACTATGGAGAAAGAGCGCTGTTTTGGGGATCCCCTAACATTCAATCGATAAGTCTTTGGTCTCTGACCCGCATTCTCCTCTTTGCACTTGCAGTTTTGGTATTCACTTACGGATGGTGATCTAGGCAGCTAGAAGTAGTTAGATGTTTGGATTCTGTTAGGATAGGATAGGATTTACATATTTATCCCGGGGGAGAGGAGAGCCGATAAGACGGCTTATCCATATGGCGAACCACGGCCTCTCGTCCGGTTTCCATTCCATGTCGGGTATGGGATGAGTTAGTTATTTTATTTTTTCGGAAGCATGGACTTGATGGTGGAGGGAGCCGTAACCAACCAGCGGTTACGTGAACCACCCAACGACGGCGAGGAGTCCAGCAATCCTCATGCACATAACCATCCCGCATGGGATTCGAACCTGCGAACCCCACGCAGACTAATTAGAGGTGCTGTGGCGAGCGTATTCCTAACGCTTAGCCCTCCTGTTATTCAGGAATGTCTGTATTTGTTACCGTTGGAACAACTTTTTTCGAAGACTTGGTGGAGAATGTGACCAGCAAAAATGTAATACAGGTACGTACAGTTGATACCGGTATAGAGCAGGGGTGGGCACGGTTTTTGGATGAGGCCTCAATCTCAACAGATTCCTTGAACTATTTTTAATTAAAACTTTGGCAAATACTTTCCAGAAAATGCGGATCCTCATCAGGGAAACTTTCGGATTAATATTAATCCTTTTGCAAAGTATATTAGGCTAATTCTTGCAATCTTTTAACACTGTTGAGAAAGAATCGATGATTAAGCTTTCCTGTGATACCACATTGATGTCCAAACATAAAGAGTTGCCCTTGTCACAGTTTTGGATATCTATTGAAAACTAATATCTTTAGCTCAGTGACAGAGCCATTAAATTATTGCTGTTTTTTACCTTTTGTGAGAAAAGCGGAGAAATCGTGTGGAAGTCAACTCTTTACTTAGCCTTGCAGAAACTTCTTGCATTCTTTTGATTATGTTTCGTGTTCATGACATTTTTGGTTAATTTTGAAGGTCCGCCGGTCTGTAAATTTTGTTTTGAAATTTTACCAGTCAGCGAATTGAGAAAAGGTTGAGAACCACTGGTATAAAGCCAACTACTATTCACTAATTACACATTACAGCGGTTCGCAAAGTTTGAGGTGATTCAAATCTGTCAAAACAAACTTTTCTTTTAATTCTTCAAGTTCGTTCTATTTTGACACAAACTGGATCATTGCATCATTCGCATATCATCCGGCTTCGTTTTAAAAAGAACTAGATCATTATATTACATTCAGAGAGTTCTAATAGCCAGCACTGCTGCTACCAGCCGTAACTATTTCAAATGTTGCTAAGATAAGATTTGTTTATTTCAGAATTATTTTAAACTTGAATAGTTAGGTAAATGGAATATAAAGTTTTTTTCAATATAAAACACATCAAAAGTAAACATTGCCCTTTATCTATCGATCTAATGAAAGAAATGCACTAAAAAAACTTGTGTTACTGTAAACTTTTGAAAAGCATAAGTGTAAATGTCATGGCTCTGTGTAGGTTTGATGGAAGGAAATAATACTAAATGGCTTTTTCAATGCTAAAGGTACAGTACAACTACCATAAATTGTTATTAAAGAATCTATATTTGTATTCAGATGATGCAGGAATTTGGATATTCGAGTCTCATAATTCAATATGGAAGAGGAAAATTTCCTGTTTTACCTGACAGCAATAACTTTCCATGTGAAACATTCGACTACAAATCGTCCATTACAAAATATATTTCAGATGCTGCACTTGTTATTAGTCATGCTGGTAAGGATAATAGGGCCTAAATATCATCTTAACTCCAATATCCGAGATGAAACATTTTTTTACTAATGTTTGAGGATTACAGATGCAAATCATTATTAGTACTAAATCCCATCTGTAAACTTGTTATAATCTAAACATACATCTTGGGTTATTAATATTAACTACTGTATGTGATTTCATCCAATTGTATCTGTGGTGTCCCAGAAATTTGATGTTGCTTTTTCCTGCAGAAGTAGTACTTTATGATTTTGCATTTGCTCAAGTGCGTTACTACTCCTGTTTATTCTTTTCTAATCTATATATATCTGTATTCCATTTATTAGCATTCTTATCATTATAGGCATTGCCTGCGGAGAGTCTGTGTGGATTATGGGCATTACTGTTTTTTTCAGGCTAATTTAGAGTAAGCGTGTATATGTTTCAGGGGCTGGCAGTTGTTTGGAAGTTTTAGCTGCTGGAAAACCTCTCATTGTTGTTATTAATGAGAAGTTGATGGATAATCATCAGCATGAATTGGCTGAACAGCTCAACAAAGACGGACATTTGCTCTATTGTACACCAAGGTATGCGTAGTGATTCATGTAAATGAATAGAAAATAAATTATCTGTCTGTGAAACATTACAATTCGAGTTTTACTTGATCTATAAATTCAATTCAAACAATGCTTTGTGTATATTTTGGCGATTTGGGAATACCTGCCGCTGTGGTTTTTGAATAGATCCTACAATATCCAGAACAAATATTTAATGTAATTATACTTTCATTTGATTCTCATCAGACTCTTCGAACTTTATTCAAACTGTAATGAGAATAACAATTGGAATTGTTCATTTTTTAACATAACATACTTATTTTTTAGTACTCTTGTAAAAGCAATCAAATCCATCCAGATGACAAAATTGCTGCCATTCCCACCAGCACGAGCAGAAAAATTTGCAATTTTCATGGATAGCTACTTCAGTGTAACATGAATACAGCGATACGTCATTGAGTATGCATACGGACAACTGATTACTTAACATTGACTTATATTCAGGTATTTGCTCTGAGTGGGCCCTGTACAAGCACAACTGCTAAAAAGTGTGGGGTGTGGAAGACTGCATCTGTACAACTAATAGCTGAAAAGTGGGGACTTATATCATTACATCGTTTAAGAAGACTTATATTTTCATCTTTAGTTTTTGTTTCAACATGGGGAAAAAATGTTTGAGACACACAGAAGTGGTTTCATGCATAACAGCTGATACTTCTTTTTGATTTATGTCTATTAAAATCTCAACAGTCGCAACAATCTGGGTGTATCAGTGATCTCTGTTATAGTTAATAGTTTTTCTGATGGTAAAATTGGGGATACTTCAGGGTTACCACACCGAATACTTTTCCAGCTTCTAGAAACCTTCACACCTCTTGCAAAACCTGAAGTTCAACTGATGCTGCATACTACACCATGAATGATAAGTCAACTGATTCGCAGGTCACAAAGTGATTTCAGGTGCATTGGCTTGATGATGGATGATACAATGGTAAGGCATCCAGCAATCTTCATGTACATCATCTCCCATGGTATTTAAACCTGCACAGGGCAGTTAGAGGGGAGATGCAGGTTTTAGAGCTTACCACATTGAACCAAAAGTGTAACTGCGATTTATACAACTAAGCCTAGTTTGAGTTTCAAAAATATGTGCAAAATGCATCATTGTGACGTTTATTAATAATTATTTCACTTCTGATGAATTCTGCTATGATAACCTGTCTCTAAGACTAGGAATGTCTCGTGAGCGAAGAAGTTAAATCTGACTAGTTTACACTTTGCATCTAGGTTGTATTGCTTTTAAGCACAATTTGGTATAGAAATTCCAAATTTTTTTTATACAATTCTCATAACTTTAGATTTGGAGTTTGCATTACATTTTTGCTGTTCTGACCTTTGCACAAAGCCCATTATTTTCTGTTTCATTGTATTAGAGTTGCGATAATAATCTTCTCAAATAAACATTATGCAATCAAATTTTCAAGGTTGTGTTTTTGATTGACAGGGATTTTTGTTGGGTCATACAGCTACATACCCAAACTCGGTTTTATGACCTTGGATAAATCCTATTTCAAAATTCTCCATAGACGTTACAGCCTACAGGTATGCATGCACCTCAGCTTAGATGCTTAATTTCCTCTACATGTAGATCCCATTATTATATACCAATAGACAACTATTTATTTTATTTGCATTGTGTATTTTGGAGATCTAAAGCAGGTTCAATCAAAATAAAGTATTCTAAGAAAAATTCTACAACAGCCTCTACATGTTGCTCACACAATATTTTATTAGAAAGACCAATCCCTCAAATGACAACAGCGATCGTTTTTTTTTTATTATGGTGTCAATAACTTATTACATATAATTGTATTCGATTATCGGCATCAGGTGTATGATTTAGGGATGGTAATCTATTGAAGGCATCCCACAGCTGGGATTTATTGCACATGTCCCGACTTTCAAATTTGACATGAAATGGTGTACATTCTATGATTGAAATTTTTGATGGCAGCGGCTATCATGATATATATACACTTCTCTACACAAAGTAAATCAAAGAATCCTGCTTTAGCTAGGCCGAATTGATTCAAAAATAATAAAAAGGACATATTCGTGGTCGTTATGTAGGAGTATTGGCCATATGGATTTCATTTACATATCACCCGAACCAATCATGCGATTTCCGCCAGAGCCGAGAATACGGTCATCACCTGATACACCGAATTCTGTTTCAGGGCATTGGAAAGAAGCGCATTCACAAGCAGTAATGACTTTGTGTTGATGAATTTTCATTTCACCATTACTGCAGAGAACTGTGACCGACTTTGTATCAGTTGATATTGGATTGCATGTAGAGCATTCACTGTCCATTCCTCCTGAAACAGTCATAAATGCTTGTTTAAATATATTATCTTTCAACAAAACATAGATTTCCACAAATAATATGCGATAACAGATGGTTGTGTCTCGTATTCCGAAAATTGACGTAAAAATACCCTAAACAAAGTCTTACCGTTTGTTGAGCGAGTGGATACAGCACAATTTCCAACACAGTAAGCGCTTTCCACCGCTTCAGCAGACGCACAGCTTACTCCATCAATATTTACTTCAAGAGGTTGCCTCTCTGTTTTCACTTGGCAACCAGAGGTTTCTATAAAAAGAGATGACCAAATTAACAACATTGACCATGAGATATCATCACATGCAGAATCCGACATACACTTGATTAAACCTTTACTTACTGACAAGCTGTATTGGTTGCGAGCTTGCCTCAACCTTTCATTAGGGACAGGATGCTAGCGCTTGCTAATAATCTTTTGGAAGCATTCGAATGTTTAATAATTTGAGTGGTAAATTCAATGATATTCATTTGAAACCTCCAGAGAATCTTGAAGCACACCCTTGATGACGATAATTAATACACATATTTACAATTGAACCAGTCATTTTCGAGGAAAATATTCAAACTTACCACCACCAGCTGCACACACATATACTGGACATCCACATTCATCCAAATCTTCTCCTGGCATTGACACAGTTCCATCTTCATACTTTGGTGGTTCGGCACATCCACTACAACCTAATCAAATGAGTTCTATCATAAATACTCTCCTTATTGTATTTGTTTGATACTTTCATTGTTATTATGAACAAGTCTTGCAGCCATTCTACGCACTTATTTGAATTTAAGATTAAAAAATAGATTATTTTGTCTTCACGATAATGTTTGTTGAAGAATAATTTCATAGGCTCATTCATATACAATTATACCATATTCTTACATTTGATTGGAACACATTCTTCAGATGATGCAGTTTTTCTTATCATTCCTTCTGGACAGAAACATCCTGCAACATTAAGTGATCCAGTGACATTCAGAACAGGTGTATCACAAGACAAATCACGCTTAGCATCCAAATCACATTCTCTGTATTCCTGACTTGGATGAGGACACATCATATCTAAAGAGAAACAAGTTTAAAAATAATTTTACAACGAAAATGATATTTCAATAGAATTAGGCCAGAATTTTAAATTTAATGTAAAATATATTTAGAATATGATATTGAGGTTTATTTTATTTGTAAAGGTTGAATGCACAAGTCACATAACTACTTTTGATTAGTAAACATTTTCCTTTTCTGTAGGATTATAACGAATTAAAACTCAAGCAAATGTTGATAAAACGAATAATGGTCTTCTTATTGTCTTGAACAGACAGTTTTGAGTTATTAGCTGAACCAAGTTATAAAAACTGCAATCTGTCAAAAGTCAGAACCACGTTAGAATAATCAAAACAAATGATCAACGACACAAAAATATATAACGTAAATACATTATGATATGTTACAACACTTCACTACATATACAATAACTCCTACTTTACCGTCACAATTAAGAGCTGATCTCCACGGGATACAGAGGCCATGCATTTCATTAATTGATGCATATTGTGCAACAGAGGAGGAAAAGCAGGCGTTGCATTTCTTTGTCATGTTGCTTTCTAGTGACAAATCAAAAGCACATTTGGCAATGTATACTCGAGGGTCGATGTGACTTCGTGCTTCCCTGTACACTTCTTTTGTTGCTAAAACCTGGAGACATATAATAATATATATATATACTGAATACACAATATACTGAAAATTATATTTTACCATTTGAAAGATTTTTCCTGAATTGTTGTTGATAGACTAAAACTGCACTAGCTGATATAACAGACAGAATATGGAGGATGAGATATAAAAAAAAAACAATAAAATCTTTTATTCAAAAGTAATTGCTAACCTGACAAGGATTAGTTTCACATGGATTGCATTTTGGATGGATGAGATGACATTTGTTATCACAGTTGATGCAGACATCTGGTGGAAGTTCTCCACAATCTGGGAACTCAGATTCTTCTGGACATTCTGGTTCCAAGGGGAAGCATTTTGGTTGATCATAGTCAGGGATGCCCTTAATCCAACTTTCTCCAAATTTGTCAATAGCCTCTTGATCTTCTTCATCCTTCACATGAATGAGTTGAGATAACTTGTTTTTAAACTCATCGCTCGGATCATTGTTGCATGTACCTACAAAAAAGCTCATGTATTACCATACCTGATTTTCATATAAAACGATATTACAGATATACTTTGCCTAGTTGCAATATCAACTAGTGCCGTTTGTTCAGAATACAGGCAATGAAGTTAGGAAATTCAGTGGTAAAAGGTGAAAACCAAGTTTTTTTAAAAATACTAGTCATTGCCACATTTTGAAGATTTGTGATAACCTTGAATCAGTTAGTATCTTTGAAATAATTTCAAAAACTAATTACTCAATCCCACTTTAACTGCTTTTGAACAGATACCAGTGTCACAATAACTAACCACATAATCCCAACATTTTTCCTTCAAGGGATTCAAATGGAACTGTAAGAATAAGTGATTGCTCCCATGTTCTTGTTTTGTATATAATTTGTAGATTGAGCGAATGAACAGTCAACATGAACTTTTTGTATCCAAATTCACGAACAGTTACTTCCCCATTATCAGAAGTCCATGGCTCGCGTACTTTGATTTCTTTTCCATTGAACAAGAACTGAAATAGATGAAAAGACTTGTTCTCTCTTGAATGGAATACCAGTGTTACAATAGTATGGTTATATTATACTAACACTTCAATGTTTAAATTTTTCTTATCTGGGACCTAGATAGAAAACCAAATTTACTATAATGAATATGAAGCAAGATTTTAACCTTTAAGGGCAACGATATAAATTGAGTGAGTGATATATACAAACGATAATACATCATCTTCCACATTGTGCTATACAAAAATTATCAAAAAAAACTGGAGTTATTTGAACTGATAAAAGGGATTAATGAACATTATGATATGCACAATCTTCCTCATCCTTCATGGTATGATGTCTCATAACATACTGATTTTATCACAAGATTGTTCAGTAAAGCATGCTCGTATGGCTAATTCTGATTTCTAACAGACAAATTTGATATCCGTTTTACTGGAATACAACGGAATACTCATTCTACTTTTTCTAATATTTGTTAGACTGATTTATTACATATCTGGCATTATTTTGCTGCTATTTGTTCTAGAATAATATTGACATTTGAATATTGGCAAAACACTATGTTTTTTGCTAATCACGAAATATTTTTGACTGGTGCAAATATAGAAAATGATGAGTCATATGTTTACCTTCTGTCCAAATGTCAATGTGTAGTTCTTGGTTTTGTGAATTACAGTTAATGTTTTAAGACAGGATAGTGATTTTCTTCTTGCACTAAACCATCGGCATAATTCGTTGTCAATAATAACTTCTGTTTCATTGAAGGCATATTCTTTCATAAGGGTATATGTGCATTTTCCCTGGTAATTGTATGAGAATCCATCGAAAGTTGTGAAATGTGGGTCACCGTAAGCTTCACATGTGCCTGTGATATTGGGAAATATTGACATTTATAAATCTATTTCCCCTTATACTTTAAACTTTGATAATAGATATTTTTTGTTGAGGAAATTCACTTTACACATTATTCTATAGGTGACTGTATCTGTATCCTGAAGAGAGAGAGTCCAGTTCCCTCCAGAATTAGAATATCATGTCTACCAAAATGATTGTACATATACTTTTCAATTTCAGGTGTTAAATTGATTTTTCCTAAATTTTTCCATTGGAATACTTACAGGGACAAACCCATTCACGACAACATCCTTCCTTGGTAGAAGCGAGATATGCCGTCCCTCCATTTACACAACTTGGTTTTTCTGATGAGCAAATAAATCGATCAAATTCTTCAATCTTGTATGAATTTCTTGTTTTGGTGTTGGAGTATGAACATTGTAACATCTTGCACTTGTTATCTTTGTTGATCCACGGGACACCGACCTGGCAAGGATGTAATTTGAAATTACCAATTTCCAACAGTTTTGTTTTAGTCTCTCATGTCTTGAGACTGAATCGCCTCATGTGGAAGCCCAATGCTCAATTCTTTTTGTGCTGTAAATTCTAAAAATATTATGTATACAACAATTTACCTTTCTTCTCATTCCATTATAGTCTACACATGTTTGATCATCATCGGGAACACACATATATTCTGGGCAACAACATTTCGTTGCAGACACATTTCTTACTGGAACTTGTCCAGATGGACAAGACGGTTCGACACATTTTGTGTAGTTACATCCTGAAAACATAATTTGTGATAAAATTCTCCTGATTTTATTTTTACTTTCAAAAGCAAGAAAGTATGTAAAGAAGATTCTGGGAATCACGCTTTAACACTTCCTAGCCATATTCTAGTGCTAGCGAGTTGTTTTCGATATTGAGTTTTCAAACATTGTTACAATCAGACTTAAATTCAGTCGATCCTATATGCAATTGAGTGTTCTTGAAAGTAAGTGTGATTTGCAGAGCAAAATATTGAACCTTGTTTGTAGCGTTTTATATAGTTGTGTCACAATTTAGATCAGGGTTTTTTAAACGGGCTCCTCGCTCTCTCTGAGGTGAGAAAGTTGATCAGACTAAAATGAAACCAAATATCAAAGGTACAAGGGATCAAGGGAGTACAAGAACGCACTCTGCACAGACTACATTGAATTGAAGTATACATGAAGCTATGTGTTTACTCTTTGACTGTAATGCATTTGTTCTTCTATTTTTTCTAATTTACTTTTTCTCAGTACAAATAAAATACCGGATTGAAACTCCTTACAAGCACAAAACATGGTTGTAATCATGTGAAATGGGCTGAAGACAATAAAAGTTTGAGAAAAAATTATATAATGCTTTTGAAAATAAAATATGAAATACCGGTAGTAAAGCGAAATACAATGTAATACAAATATAACATACTGCAGCCTTGTTGTTTGCAACATTTGTTAATGGATAGATCCATCCAGCTGTATACATCTTCTTCAGGATTTGTGCACTTGGTAATCTTTGGTGGACATGATTTTGGTCCTGAAATTTAATTAAGAATATAGTTATGATAAATGAACCTTTTATTATTGAACTTATATCTGACCAGCTAAAAAGTCTCCTCCAAATAGAACATAGATACTCACTGCAAGCAAAGACTGGGTAATTACAGCTGTCCACTTCTTCAGTCTGATATACTTCTTCACATTCATTCTCACATGAAATTGTTGGACATGGATTTCGTTCTACAAATAATAACAAACTCTGATTGTAAAAAAAATAACTAATTATTTGTAATGCGCATTATCAAATATAGATTTGGACAAACATTTGCTTCCATATTTGGTGAATGCAAAAATAATAATGTACCGTTAAGTATAATGCGAAATCTCCATATTTCATTGATAATTTTGTACTTCATTCAGATAGCAGCTTGTTAAAAATAAGAATTCAAAATGAATATATCTTATTGAGCGAAATATCACATGGTGTAAGCATTCAAGAGTCTATGAAGTCTTGTCTATAAAACTTGCTCAACTTACCACACACACGTTCAGTACATCCACAATCATTAGTTGTATCTAATGCAGTATAGCATGCATCACATTCTTTCGGTTCAGTGCAGATAGTATTGTTGATAATGTATGGACATCCCAAATTCTTGGATGGATCAACTAGACATTTCCTTGTGTAACATGCATCAAGAGGATGGGGCCATTCTAGATTTCCTGTGTATAGAACAGCAAAGATTTATAATAACATTGAATTTCTCAATTCAAATTATGGTTACTTCTGAGAATAGTGAATTCAAAGTTGCAAATCTATACAATATATAAGCAGAATACGGTCATATATATACAATGCCCACAAAGTATATATTCTATGTAAATATCATAATTTCGAACAAGACCGCTACATCATAACTATTTACTTACGATCATATTTCTTAGCAGTTTCTGATTCCAAGCATTTATCTGGGCAGTCGCAGTATTTTGGACAACATTCATCACCAGTAACAGTTGCATCAGATTTCAATGCAATCTTAGGTAATTCACAATCATCGAGAGTGTTGATGTCGCATTCAATCTTTTCTGTATACACAGTAAAAATTGGATTTAGAATGATAGTACATAATGGCTCACAAAAAGGGTCAAGTAATAAACATATATAAAAATAGCATAATCTCTCTATCAACAGAATAGCAAGTGTTTTCGTAAGCTTTCATAGTAACTGCAAATATGGAAGATCACTGGTCAATTAAAGTTATTATAATAAATTATTATAATAACTTTAATTGACCAGTTCGGACTCGTAAACCCACACAAGGCGATCAACAGAAAGATAACAATAATATTCCTGTATTTCTAACACTTGATATGATAAATGTTAGACCAGATGCTTTCAACAAGTAAAAGTGCTTATATAAATAAGGGTAAGATAAAGTCCATAAATGAGAAGACAATCTGCAGCTGTTCCTTGCTGTTTTAATAGCTTCATGTTAGTATGCCATGAATAAGCTCAAAAAATTTCAGCTGAAACTAAGTAGTGTCACTCACTACATGTAATGACAGCACAACATCTATCATCCAGAGTTTTGATTTCTTCTTCACATGGTCCACATTTAATTGGTTCATCACATGGTACAATATGAGTGTGTGGGCAGATCTCACTTAATTCTGTTGACTCAGGTTTGGCAGCTCTGCATACTTTTCTATTGAGATAAAGAAAGGAAATAGATCCAAAGATTGAGCAATGGCCAATTGATGGTATAACTTGTTAGAACATAGAATGTGATATTGGAAAAACTGACATTCTCCCAACTCACAAGTATAGGATGACTTTGTAAGTTGCTGCTCAAATACGCTAATAAGATAATTTAAAATGAAAAACTATTATTTCTCAAGATTTTATGAAACTGTGAAATAGCAAAATCTGAATGTTATATAACAGACCATCACCGTATGTTTGAGGATCAATTCAAAATTTGAGAATATCAACTTTTAAAGCTCATTGAATGATTATATAAAAACAATTTCCACAGCAGAAATACAAAAATTATGGTAGCCAATAAAGGATGCTATTTATACCTGACGATGGAACCTGCGACAGATGGATCCGAGGTGCATGCATATTCTAATGGTTCATCCCAGGTCTCCCCAATTTCACGAGTTTGGTTTTGATAATCGAAGCAAGTTTTGTGACATGTACATTCTCGCCCAACACTGCAGCAAGGATATTTATCAGACAAGCCTAAACATAGAAAATATCAATGTTAAAAAAATTGAAAAGTATCTTGTTTTTATTGAATTTAGGTTAAGAATGACTTTGATGTTAACTTAAATAGAATGCTTGTCATTATTTGGAGTGATAAATTGTAAGCAGGATTAAAAAGAACTCTTTATATTTGAGTAAAAGATAAATCGGGACGAGCAAAATATAATTATATTACCGTTAAGAGATATTTCCACCAAGTTAGATTTTGGTTCTGAACACTCTTTGACATCATATGGAGATGGTGGACACTTGAATGGAGCTGAATTGAAAAATATTTGTAAACTATAAATGATAATTTTAGTGACATATTGATCCTTGATTTGAATATAAATGAATTAATCTTCAAAGTTAAGGTACATACTAAGCTATTTATTCAATGCATCAAATTTTGCTATATCATAGCAGTTTGAAACCTTTTAATAAAATCGTTTATCGATAATCAGAATGAGATCTAAAATAGCGGTTCGTGCAATACACGCATTAACCATAATCGGGAAGCACTTAAAAAGAAAAAATATGCAGTGGCTGTTCAAAATTTGATTTACAAAATCATAAATAATATGAACGAAAATTATGACTGAATAGTCAGTGACTTACAACATGTATGAACAGTGCAGCCACATGCATCTTCCGATTTAATAGTATTCGTGCAGTTGGGACAAGATTGGGGTTCTGGACATCCAATATCTCGTGCTACAGGACAAAGATCCATGTCTTGTGAACATTCTTCATATAATTTTGTTGCAATATTTGATTCAGTCATCATTCGTCTAAATAAATAAATAACATGGGATACTAAAAATGGAGTAAAATATATATAAATTATATGAAATTAGCAGAATAGTTGTTTCCTAGTATTATTCCTTGCAATGATATACACAGAGTCAAGATTTTGATTTGTACATAAAATACCATATTCTAAATTTTTGGCCACAGAATATATCTCTGATTTCTCATAGAAAAAAACCAAGCAAGAACATTTCAAAAATAGAAAAAGAGCTATATAATGAGTTTTCTAAAAAGATTTGCGATATGTATATTTCATGGTTAGTAGAATTCATTTAAATAATCATAGATTCATAGTAAAGTATTTTTGAAACTAATTTCAAATTCTGCATACGACAAATGTTGTACCTGAAATCAATCTTGGATCGAAGTTCACTCCAGAAAGCAACATTTTCGGTATCTTTGAAATCAATCACCGAAAGATCATAACCTAACTTGGTAAGTAATGACTCTGGAGCGACACATCTCATTCGTTGACATGTTGATTCATCAATCCACACAGAGAAAAGCTACAGAGAAATTTTCAAATCAATTATATCAAGCACATTCTACTTTATAGAAATCTAATAGTAAGATTAGCCTAGACCCTTGAATGAGGTGACATATATTTCGCATGAAGTGACTGTGTATGTATGTATATTGCTGTTTGGCATTTAAATTATCATTTATTTTTGACATGTTCACAGATAATAATCCTATATAAATTCTGATCTTATACAATAACACAATTTTCATTAAAAAATTTCTGTAAATAATGTTTTTTTCCAAGGTATTTGATATTTTATTAAGTACAATAAAATGATCAAAAACATAACATACATCTTTCTTAACTCCTTTGAAGTAGCAAGTAGAATCACACACTGAAAATATAATTATAATATTTTAAAAATAAAAATTTCTGTTAATATCATATTTGACAACCTATTGAAACATTTGTGCATGGAATTTATGGAGCCAATTATCAAATATAAACTCCAATGTAATATTCATTACTTTTACCATTGATTAACATTAATTTCTCTATGTGAATTAGTCAAAGCAAGATCTCATGCACTCATAAAGTAATAACCATCTTGCAGTGGTGACTGAAATGCCATTCAGAATTATGATGGATATCAATTCATTTAGTAATTATCACTTTAATTTTATGCTGTGGCATCATATAGTTGGATTTATAATAAGGGATTTCAACTATACTTACTGCAACAGTTCTTTGATGGGAAACATGTATCCTTTGTTTCAAGTGTTGTAATTATTTGCCGTTTGGTTGCCACTGAGCAATGAGTTGGTTCCTCAATCGGAGCTGAATTGATAATAGTTAGTTTACAAAGCCTTACAAAATGAATTGCAAATTGACAATATTAGAATGCAAATATGACAAACTGCCTAGTCCCTAGTTTTAAAATTAGATACAATTATATATCTATACTTACGACAAGATACTTTATCACAGTCGCATTCATCTTTAATGATTTTCTTTGTAGTACAGGGTGGGCATTCTATTGTCAAATCATTTTCACAATGATCAATAGTTCTTGGAATTGGACAGATCTCCTTGTTCCAATCTTCTTCCGACACATAACATTCCAGTTTCACGCATTTCTTTGGCACCCAGATTGTACCGTTCTGAAAATATAATCAAGCATGCATATTGGTGGTGTAGAAATCAACTGAAGATACCCACATAAGTGACTTCTATAAGCTTTTTTGAATATGTTTATGTGACAAATTACCACGATGATAAAATATAGGAATTTGAAAGATTTGAAAACTACAGAACTGTACAAATCTTGGGCTTGGGTGGTGCGATGGAAGCGCAAGGTTGGTAATCAACAGACTTTATTTTAGTTTCGTTTAGTTTTAGTTTAGATTAGACTCTAATTTAGTTTCGGCACTTGTACCCACAGACCTGCGATGATGATCATTAAACTTCCAGGTTACTCAATGATAATAATTGGTAACAAGTAACTCTTTATATATGAATGTAGTAATCCTTGATAGTAAAATACAGTTCATAATACATTTAAGATTTCTCTTTTTCAATGTAAATTTTAGCATCTCCTGTTTCTGTTTCATCGCAATGCTATAGCAATATTATAATAAACATTCACCGGTACTCTAGCTCCATCTTTGATGCAGACTTTCTCTGCTTTGCATCCCCAGATATTACAACATTCACCGTTTGCTACATCCCGCTTTACAGCTAAATATTCACTGAAAAATTCGTTTTTCAAGATTATTAACATTATATCTCTAAATTATACATGGAGCCAACTAAACTAGATATTAATATAGATTACCGACATTTGTATAGCATGTCTGGTCAAGTTTGATTTGGATAAAGCTAGGGTTTTGTTTGTTTCGGATTTATAAATGTGGTTGATGTATGGAGTCTAACTGACAGCAATTAACAAAACATATTACTGTGTCAAGAAGCCTAAACTTTCCAACGGTCATCATACTGCGATCACCTCAAATATACACAGAACAGCATCTGTGCAAGAATTACAAGAATGTTCAATATTGTTTGGGCGATTGAGTTAAATATTTATCGAAAAATAATACTGAAATATAGCATGAGACTTGGCTTCATATTCAGATCAACTTAAAATAAACATACACAAAACAATCTTTGCAAACTTCTTTGGTTTCATTGCATGGAGATTCTTGACTTTCAACTTTCTTACATTTGGCTGGGTCAGCTTCATCAGTTACATTAGTACAGGTGTAGTCGATGCAATCTTTTGTCCATTTCTCACCAGGATTATATGATTTTCCATTGAAGCGACATTTAACACACACTTAAAATAGAAATTTAATATAGTAAATTTAATCAAATAAGGATTGATCAATGAAGTTTGTAGTGGATGATTAAAACTAAGACAAAAAATGGAGTAATACTTGTTCGTACACAAAAATACATATGGACAATTTAAACATATGGAACATTTGTATTAGTACATGAGTAGTTTAATTTTTGTTTCACTTTGAATATTTATAACGATAACTCACTGCAATCATATCTTGGGCAGCATGTTCCATCATAGCAGCAACTTCTGTCTTCATTCTTGATAGGAACATAATCTTCGGGACATTCAGAATCAACCGTGCATTCCTTTCTTGTCTTTTTCACTTCGTAACATTCTAGTTGTTCTCCAGATTTCTATAATTTTGCAGTTTTAGAACTTACCGGTACCTTGAATAGCATTCTTGTTCCGTTTTAATATATAGATTTGATTATTAAATTAAATTCAAGATTGATAATTCCCATATAATTTCTTTGGACAAAAAATTCTAATTAAAGAAATCATCATAAATCAAAAGTCTATCCTTTTCGTAATTGAAGTTACTGCTTCACAATATTTTTCAAGCATTATCAGGAATATGCAAATATTCCAACAAACCTTGATAGGATTACAGTAATATGTATCATAACATCCACGGTCAACGTCTCCTTTTGTCCATGATTCACCAGCAGATTTGTTCGCTACAATTTCGCCATCGAGCATACATTGTGTGCATTCTGAAGGAATTAATAATTATTAGGACCTCAACGAAAGTTTATGATTGGACAGCCATCTATTGAAAAATTGGCGCTCCAGAAGTATGTGTACCAATATGGAGGTAACTAAATTAGTTTGCCTACTTTACATCAAGTTGTGTTAAGGGACGGAAGCCTATGGGCAGGGCTTGGCTAACACTTGGCTAACACAAACAGTCGCCGAATTCATAATAGGCCTAACTAAAATAAGGAAAATTCGTATGAAATTATGGCCTAACCCTAACCTGGTACACATACTACTGGAGTACCGTAAAATTAATATTCTTTCCATCATACCACATGAAATCAGTTTTTTACATCCACAATCATCTTTTCCGTAAACAGCTTTGTTGTAAGGTGCTTCACACTTTTCTACCACTGGGCATGGTATTGGCATACATTTCTAAACAAAATATAACAGTTCTAATTTTTGTATGAAAGCAAAATTGGGTCCAGTCTTGTATGCTAAGACCATCATAAAGTAAACAATTTTAAACAAGAGAGCAATGCTGAAATATATGGACACAAAGTAGTACAGTTACCGTATGCAATTTGTCTCAGTAGACTACTGTACCGGTACACCAGTCTTCACGACCAACGTGAAAGTGGAGCCAAAAAATATTGCAAACTTCACCATTAGAGCAAACGTAACTGACACAAGGTTCACAATTTTTGAGAGGTTGGATAATCCCTCTTTTTCTAGTATCTCATGATTTTCTTCATGCACCAAAAAACAATATTACACAAATAGATATAAATATAATAGAGGAATGGGAATTATTTACACAAACTGTTATTTTTTATACTTATACTTATTATTCAGACCTCTTTCAAGCATCCATCTTTCTCATCCTTGTCATCAGTACAAATACAGCTTTCGCATGATCTCGGGTCCATAATTGTCCTTTCCCATGAAGTACCAGGCTGCAGTAAATACATAAATGTATCATTGAAGAAATTAAATGCAGTTTAAATTAGAATAGGAATGTGTTGTAAAATATAAACAAATGAATTAGGATCGAAAAGGTAAGTGAAATTACTGTTTAATCAATAGTGTTGACCATAGTGCATAGTGTAAAACATTCAGCAAAAATATCTGAATTTAACATATTACATCAATTAGGAATGTATAATTGCATGCCACCTGTATGGCTCTATGAAAAAACTTTAGTTCATTGTAAAAATCATGGTATTAGAAATATATGGGAATATAGGCATATAAGATCTTACATCATATGTTGAGTTGGTGACATCATCGACACATGTATGATCACATGTACATTCATAACATGGGGCTTTGCATGGATCAGCATCTTTGATTTCAGTTGGTCGGTATGGGAAATCGCATTTGATATTGGGGCAACGTTCAATCAAGGCTGTAAAATTCATTGGAGTTGAATATCAACAAAAATAAGACTAAAGAATTAAAGCTTCTGGTAAATTGCATTTTCATAATCATTCACCCAAAAAACACAATAATAAAAGACTATTGAATACATACAAATATTTCATAAATACATAAGATGACATATATATATATAAAATATTCCCTTCTATAAAGGCAGGCTGCAGCATGATGGCAGCGATATTTGTGTACAGATGTAGAATTTACAATCAGAAAAAGGCAACAATTTTCCTAATATACTCGTACCGTAATATTATCATAATGTAACTTCATAACAATGAATGTTCCAATAAAATAACAAACAACAACAATAAAAATCTTACTGCACGTGGAAACATCGCATCCACATGAATCCTTTGTAATAGTGGTATTGAAACATTCAAGACATTTTTCAACTGGTTCGCATCCGATATCAAAACTTGTGGGACAAAGTGAAACATTTTGTTGGCATTCTTCATACAGTTTATGCGGTATTTTTTTCTCATCCAACATTTTCCTAAAATAATGAGTATACCTGTATTTTTATCAATAAACCACAAGACCATGACATGGTCTAGGTTGACATAATACAGTCCAGACATTTTTGTTGTTGGTTCCAGTAAGTTGTGTTATGTGATACAAATCAAACATATCAAGTAATAAGCAATAGCAACACACACATGCCATATTTTGATGAGTGTATTACTCATGTTCAAAAAGGTTTTCCGTGAAAATTTGCCCAATGTAAATTTAACAACATTTTCTGAAAAGCTTTATATTACTTTTACTTCAGCATATTATACAGAATAGTAATGGATATGTAAGAGAAGTGAAAATTTTAAATTTAACTTCATCCTAATTATTCTAAGGATTTTTTCGACTACGAAAAATGTAATTCGAAATTCTTATGTAGTAATCTGAATTGAATTAGTCAAACTATATTTATAGAAAATATTTTTGTAACACACCTGTAGTCAACCTTGGTTTTTAGGTTAGAAAATGTAGCTTCCATCATAGTATCAGCCAAATTTTCAAAATCAATCTTTCCTGTGTAACCAAGATGACGAATTGTTGTTTCAGGAAGAATGCATCGCATTCTTGTACATGCTTCAGTGTCCTTCCACACTTCAAATAGCTGAAATTATTTTGTAAGAACAAACAAATGAGAAATTAAATGATTTTATATTATGTTGCAGATATTGACCAGAAATTTAATAGACATAGATCTTGTGATATTTTCCGATATTGAAAGTTTTGAAATATGACATAACTCAAGGTATTGTCAATATCTCGATTCTCGAGACATATACATAATTCACACTCAAATAATGGAAGTTTACTACTGCTTGCTCTACCAATTAGATCTGTACAATTAAAGAAAGTTGAGGCATTGGTTATTCTCACATGTACGAGTTTCAAGATATCACTAGCAATTCCATCATGCAATCAAGAATTCTCAGGTGATCTTCAATAAACTTTGAGAGTGTATTTAAATATTTCTAGCATTGCAGCGTGTTTACTTGAGCTATATGGTTTTGTTACATTAGAAATAATTAAAAAACCTACCTGGTATGTAGCACCTTTGTATGTACAGGTTGTGTCACACACTGTAAAGCAAATACTATTATTTAACCTCAGACCATTATATCCACATGTATTGTAAAGACTAATATATATGTTTCCTAACACATAATTATTATTATGGTAATGATTTCCATCTATTTAAAAACAAGTTAAATATTGATAAACATAAGAGAAAACAATCAGAATTTCAACTCTGGTCAGAGCTGCTTGAAATGCAGGGCAAGAAGCAATACACTTTTCTTGGGCTGCAGAATTACTCATAAACTCTTCCGAACGCTTGATTTTGGTTCCACAAAATAAAACACGAACACTCTTTGGTCATCCCCGAGTTAATTACTATAATCTAATTATGTGTTCAACCAATATGAACATTTTATAAAAATAATATATATTCAAAAATTTTAGTCTTACCACAGCATTCTTTACTTGGGAAGCATTCATCACCTGTTTCCAGCGTTGAATGTCGTTGATTTAGTTTGGGTTCAATACATTGAGTTGGTTCATTCAATGGTTCTGTAAAAAAAACAGTATATTTATTTGTGATAATTAAATATAATTTTAATAGGAAACTGTGAAGGGATGATAGAAGTTTTATATTTGACACAATAGCACATTAATCAGAGCATCAAACTGTGTCGGCTTCAGCAATTAAATATCCCAAATTCATAACCATTCATTCAAGGCATCATTCACTAATTAAGAAATTAGAAATTAGGGAAAATTTTTTGGATATCATAACAGTGACATCTCAATTTCATTTAAAATACAAATTTTCACAATGCCCAACTATATTTTTCAGAATGTTCCACTTCTTCCACATCATTTTTAGAGTCATTGTATGGAATGATTAAAAGTACTTACTGCAAGATGCAATTTCACAACAATATTCATCAATGTAACTGGTTCGATTTTCACAGTTGCCACATGTTATTGGTTCATCACATGGAACCTTGACAGCTTCTGGACATTCTGGTTTAGGATCTGGGAATTCGGCTGGAGCTCGACATGTTTTTCTGAAAATATGGCATCAATATAAAATGCAAAAATGGGAATTTAGTGTAACCTATAAGCATGAATATTTTGATTATAAGGCAACTGTGTAACTGTACCTCATGTTTGGATTGTAAGTTGAAATATAAAAATATTTTAATAATAATCCTATCATGATGACACACTCAAAGTGAATGATTGGCTATGCTGAACCATAACAATTAAAAGTATTCCATTCTGTTATGAAAGTGCTCACAGAATGGTATTGAATAACCTATAACTTTCCAATTACAAGATAATACAAGGAGATTATACATTCTTTAATAGGTAATATCATTAAACATACTTAGTCAAAGTCTTGCCACATTCATTAGTTCCAATTTCATCCCAAGATTCACCAACTGGATGTATTGTACCATTTTTATCCTCACACCCATCTCTACATACACATTGCCGTCCTTGCTTACAGCATGGGTACAACTCCGTCAATCCTAAAAGTTGATAAGAAGAATAAAGACAAGTAATGTTTTATTTTAATTTACCGGTAATCAATTTACTTTATTCAATCAATCTGTTGCATTGGTTGGTTCATTTTACCCAATCAACTAAATTATATGTAATCATCCTCAACTAAACTGTTATTTCTAACATAGAGTACATACTTAGCAATAAACAAAAAAATTGTGAAATTTATTGAGTAAAAAAATATAAAATATGCACCTTCAAGTGAAATGTTCTTCATAACAACTTTAGGCTCAGTGCATAACTTGACATCATATGGTGCCGGAGGACAAACATACGGAGCTATTTGAAAAAATAATAATATATAAATATATTGAATATATACAATAATAATATATAAATATATACACAGCTACTCGTTGTCACAGGGTTGTTGGACGTAATTGCTAGTCTGTTACATTTTTCTCCGCCATTCATACAAAAACAATTTCCTTATCTACATTTGATTCGTAACTGGAAAAGAGGCCATGCCATAAGACTCTCATCCATTCTGATATGAATGTAAAATTCCCTGTACTGGTCCATAAAATTACTTACTGCAAGTTACAATAGGACAGCCACATTCATCAACAGTTTCTGTAGTTGTCTCACATTCGCCACAATCTTTTGGTTTTTCACAACCTAAGTCATAAGTAATCGGACAAAGGGAAACATCTTGTGAACATTCACTATATAGAGATTTTGGAATGATAGAGTTACTCATCATCTTTCTGTAAAACAAAATGAATTTACTTTAAAGAACTCAACAGCTATAAAAGAGATTTGCTACTTTCATTGAAAAAATAAACAACTTTATCACTTCATTCCAAATTACCAGATTCCACTTTTGATCCTAATTTACCTGTAGTTTAGTTTGCTTATAATTTGACTCCATGTTGTGACATCTTCCAAATCGTCAAAGTCAATTCTTTTAGGATCAAATTTAAGAGCAGTGAGTGTTGCTTCAGGAAGGACACATCTCAGCCTCTGGCAAGTGGCCTTATTTTTCCAAACTGTGAAAAGCTAGAAAAAAAATACATAATTTTGGTAAAAAAACGTACGATTTTAGTATCTAAGTGACTGCAATAGAAAATAGTAAAACCAAGTTGAATTCCAAAAAAAATATTCGATAAAAGAAAGGAAATGCAAAAAGTTGCGTCTTCAGCAACAACCAAATAGGTACATGACTGATAACTCCAAACTGATAATATTAAGACTTCTGAAATTGACGTCGGGATGCAATTTTGGCTCAAACTCCTTATAACAAATTTGAAAATTGAATTACCAGTACCAAAAGATCAATTAGACTTTTCATAAAAATGAAATTTTCATTGTGCAATTTACCAAATTTGTAAGCAACAATAACATACGGTAATAATTTATATACACATCAAAAATGTTAATGCATTCTTATACAGGATTTGATATTAATGTTGAAGGCCAACACAAAATCCCAATATCTATTGATCAGAAAATTGTAGTCCCAAAATATTCACTCAATTTTTACCAATAATACTATCGCCTACTGCACCTTCCAATCCAACTTCAGGATGCTAAACTTGCGCCCGCTCAGCATTTTAGCCTACAAATGCGACAAGTCTACATTGTGATGTAACAATGCTTATGTATTGCACGACCATCTTTTTTTGCAAATCAGCGAAAACGACAGGGATTACAAAAGATTCGTTAAGACAGTGAACATCTGAATTATCCCCAAAAATTGCCAAATTACCTCTTTTGGAGTAATTATCCCCAATTTGAGAACCACTGGTATTGAAAAAGCAAATGATAATTAAGTTTGAGTGATAAAGAGCATGAAAAATAACGATTTTATAAATCATAAAAATGATTTCATAAATGGCATGCAAAATACAAATAAAATGGGAAAACTGAATAAAGTTTATTATTTAAAGAACTTACACTCTTTCTTACACCATTGTGGTAGCAGGCATCATCACAAACTAAAAAGTAAGAGTTGCTTTAAAAAAACGGGATCTTAAATTATTTTAGATGATATGATTCATAAAAAAGTATTAAAAATTATGTTGAGATACGTTATATATTTAGGAGATTATATTAAATCAAGAAGAGTCGAAACAAAAGAATAATCATAAAATTATTATATTCAATATCATATTCATACTATTTAGGTATAAAACTTTTCCTCTAAATTCTAAAATTATATTTGATACAAAAGAGGAACAGTCTAGCTCACTTACCGCAACAATTCTTGCTTGGGTAACAGATATTGGCTGTGTTGAAAAAATCGATGATTTGATTTGATGCAGGTTTGTCACATGAAACGGGAGGATCATTCGGAGCTGAAAATATTTAAATGAAGATATAGAATATCTTTATTTATAACACATTGGTTTTGAAGCATTCGTGTATAATAGTTTATTGCTGATGCATGTCAAGATATTGTTCTACCACATTCGTCTCTAAACCAGTAACTAATTAGATCATGATAGGTATTCAATGCATATATGCTTACGACATTCAGTGTAGTCACAACCACATTTATCCTTTTTCACAGTTTTGTTTTGACATTCGTTACAGACTGTTGGATCAGGATCACAATGATCAATATCAATTATTTCTGGACACTTTTCGGGATAATCTTCCTCAGATACAAAACACTGAACTCTTCTACATTCATCAGGTTCCCAGATCGAACCATTCTATAATAAAAATGCATGATGGTTGTTGAGAAAATGCAAAGTCATGTTTTACTTTAGGTTAATTAGAACGTTTATCGTTAAGTTTTGACACTAGAAATAAGCTTTGTCAAACATTCATTAAGTGATTAAGCCAAATTATTAAATCAGATAAGAAAGAATTTTAAACCTAATGTATTTCTTTGTGAGTGGGACTGGGAATTTTAACCAAATGGAGGAAAAATATATGTGCATACTTGATATGAGTGAATGATAGTGTTCAGGGAAGAAAATTGTAATTTTGAATTGCACCTGCTGTTTCCCACCATCAACTGCTAGTTTCTGATTTAATACGGTATTATATTTTCTTGATATTCACCAAATGAATTGAAAACCCCAGGGCATAGAGTTTCAGTTTATGTGAGTACACTAATAGATGAAACTTAAGCAAGTGAAATAGTGAAATGGATATTTACAAGATGTTTTACACCACCCTCATCATAGCAGTACGGTTCAGGTTTGCAATCCCAGATATCACAACAGTGATCAGGTACTTCTCTCTTTTGTTTGAGATATTGTCTGTGGAACAAATCATGTAATAAAAAAGACATACAAAATTAAGATATTCTTACAATATTCCAATTTCAGTTCATTTTATTTTTCAATAAAAAAAGAAACTTACACATGACATTCTGTGCAAGTAATATTCGTAGCAGGACAATCTACAACTTCACTAGTTATTTTCTTGCATTTTGCTGGGTCTGCACTATCAGTTTCATTTGTGCAATGATAGTTGATGCAATCCTTTGTCCAAGTATCACCAGGATTGTAAGATTTTCCACCAAAGCGACATTTTACACAAGCTGTAACATAATATTATACATTAATAAAAATACTGTGTCATGGTCTATTGCTGTCAATTCTTTTCATTTTGAAAAATTGAATTATAACATCTGCCAAACTTATTATTGCCATAAAATAAAAAAAATTGTTATCAAGCTTTCCTGCTAGAACCAATTTTATTAAAATTATATATCAAACTTAGTGATATGATAGTATATCAATTCAACTCTGTGAAACCTGATATAATCGAACACAGTAAGTCAACATACTACAGTCGTATTTTGGGCAATGTTCCCCATCATCATAATCACAACTTCGCACTTCACTTTTAACTGCAACATGATCATCTGGACATTCGTCATTAACAACACATGGGTTCCTCACTTTAGTGATATTGAAGCATTCTTTTGACATTCCTGGGTTCTGCATCAACATTTGGAAAGCGTTATGTTAGCATAGAATGATTTACAAGCAAATGGTGGCAAAATAACATGTAAATGTAAAGAAATATAAGCTGGAAAATGCATATAGAATTAACCAAAATAAAGTTAAAAGGTTGCATCTAAGTTACCCTGTATGCCAGGCATTGATATGAGTCATAGCATCCAAGTGCAAGGTTGCCAATGTTCCAGGTGTCACCAGGTTCTTTTCCATCAATAATTTTCCCATCATACATACAATGTGGGCATTCTAAAATGAATTAAACTGCTTTATTTAAGAAGATTCTATTCTACTTCAATTGTATATATACTAGGTCTATATTGCTAGACAATGAAGATAAGGTCAAAGCAAGTTTATGTACACATAATCAGAAGCATAGAAGTTTCTCTGAGCGAACTTCCGCTAGAGTTGCAAGACTATAGAGAATTATAGCGTTGGAGTGAGCTTCACCGATTTTTCAGTTCAGGTCAATACAATTATGAAAACAGCTATGAGGAATTTCACACAACTGAAGTTCTTTGAAAAATGATTTGGGGATAATTGTTTGTCTGGTAGTTACACTGAGAGTGAACAGATGAAGGCTCAACCAAGTATAATGACTGAAAATTTTATTTAGAGACAAAATTTTCAAAAATTCAGAAGAACATAAACCATTATATTTCGTGTAATATTAGCCAGCCATAGATACCACAGTTTGTCTACGAAAAGAGTGTCTGCAGTTTTGAAAATTTTGTTAAATATAAATTACATTATTCTCATTCTGATTGTTGTAAGTACATCACAACAAACACATGATTTCTTAATAATTTTAGCAATTGTACAAATTCTATTCTTACTGCATCCGAGAAGTATAGTGCAACCACATTCATTTTCTGAATGAATAGGAACATCATATGGGCTTTCACATTCTTCAACAGGCGGACAAGGAGTTGGAGTGCAATGCTGTTCAAAAATAATAATATTTAATTATTGCATCATGAAAAATAAATAGGGTGTAAACGCATCTTAATCCACATAATTATGACAGGATTGTTGAAATTGATTTGCATTCTTCAGAATACAAAATTTTAACATCGTTTTTTTTTTAATTGCAGGAACTCATTATCATGAAATTATAAATAGGATTGGAATTATACCAACCTCTTTCATACATCCATCATCATCCATGGCATCGGTACAAACACAGTCTTCACATGTTGAGGAAGTGAGGGCCTTTGTTTTAGCAGCAACTTGACGCTTCCATTCTTTACCAATCTATTGGAAAAACAATTGGATTTATAAAATCAGATAGACTCAATTAAATATGAAGCAAATAGATATCTAAAAAAATTAATAACATCTCAAACATCCAGTTTTTAACTTTCATGTTATGGCTGGTAGATTCATAACTTTTACTGCAGTTGCTTGGTCACAGTTTAAAAATACTTCAAGTACTTTACGAAATTTTATCATAGCTACTAGTACTGACACAATTTTCAGTTTTTGAAACCGATCAATTTTACCTGGTATGTCCTGTTTTGAATTTGGTCCCAACATTCCTTGCATTCACAATCATAGCATGGTTCTTTACACTTGTCCCCGGATGGATCAATTACACGAACATATGGGAATGGACAGTCAATAGACGGACAACGTTCAACAGGCTCTGTCAAGAACAAATAGAGACCAAACTATAAAACACGATAACGGTTACCTTATATTGACTCGCTTCTAACAAACAATGATTATCACTTACGACAGTCATATTGCTTGCAGCCACATGTATCATTTACTGTTTTTGCAATGTATTCACACTCTTCACATTCAGTTGGTGCGTGACATGTTTTTTCAACTCTTGGACAGTTCTTGTCCTCTTCGGAAGTTCGTGGATCAACGCACGTATACCAACACCCATCGTCCATCCTTATCTCCTGACCAGGCTAAAATAGGGAGAAATCTTCAAAACCGACTAAGACGTAAATACCAAATCATGGTTAATTGCGAAATCACACATTTGACTCAAAATCAAGAGTAAGGATAGAAACATCCAAATAAAATTTTCAGTACTTACATCAATGATTCTCTCTGTTCCTCCAATTGTCACACGGCACTGATCATAACATACTAAACATAGAAACAAACATATATTATGCATTTGAATAGTCAAAATAGTCAATTTGAAAATCGAATCTAGTCCTAGTTAAGGCTTAATTCTAGAAACTTAACTGCTTTTGTTTACTTTGTTACTTTTTACTTTGCAAAAAACATTTGCTGCAGTTCAGAATAAGTAAAGTTGATAGACATATAGTACTTACCACAGTCATAAATATCGCAGCATTCCCATTCATCAATTCCGACGATTTTTACATATTCATCTGATTTGCAAATTGGCTTTTTAGCACAAGTCACATTTTCATAATTTATGCTTCTGAAACATCCAGTAGCATCTCGAACACCTCTCACACATCGGAACTTCATGCACTTCTTGTTCCATTGATCTCCTATCTAAAAATTGATTCCAATACTTATATTAGAAATAAGTCAAATGCTAAGATAGGTTTATTGATAGTAATTGTTATAGCAACTAAATGAAATGTTGGAAACAATATTGAAGAATTCAAAACAATTAGACCCAAGCATTTATCGAAAAATATTTCTTCATACTGAACTCAAATTTTCTGATATAAAATAGATAATAGCTTGTAATCGAACAAATTCAGCAAACCAGTTTGAGATTCCTGTTGTTGCTTGCATCATAGTCATAACAAGAATCACATTCTGTAAAATAAATAATATTAAATATTCTGTAAAGTGTGAAATAATTTCAGATCATTTTATACAGTAGATCAGCGGTTCCCAAACCATGGATCGCGACCCACTGGTGGGTCGCAAAAGGAATCTTAGTGGGTCGAGAAAAGATGTAGAAAGCTTTGACTCATTATACTGGTTATTAGGATCAGTGGCGACTCGAATACGTAAATCTTCAAAAAAACAAAAGAAATTAAATTGAATTTAAATTCTAATCTGTGAAAGTTTCCTTTTTAAGAACTTCTTAAAGGAACAATAATTTGCTACACAGAGAATGACCATGTGACTTTTTTACGCATAGCAGTTTTGTACACTGTACAGCACTTCTTACCGTGTTTCCCCAAAATTTATACAGGATTTACATTTATTTTCTTTTGAAGAATAACACTATGGTTTTTTTTGAAAGAGGTCTTTTGTGTTCATTCATCAAAAATAAAATTACATTGTAGAAAATCGAGAGATGTGTCGCCATAAGCTGTGGTAATAAATAGTGGGTCCCAACTCTAAAAAGTTTGGGAACCACAGCAGTAGATCATGAATCCAAATCTCTACATGTGACCTGTACATATTGCACAGTTTCCCAATTATATATGCCTGCCTGAATTATAGAATAACTCAGGGTGATTGCGAATCATTAATTGTACTTAAACATGATTTGTTTCATCAATAAATCATATCTGCAGCTTTTAAACAAATACAAATTTCAGACTTCAAACAATGTTTACATAGCATCTAAAAATTTGAGAATATTTATACCGCATTCTCCCCATGGACAACAATCATCAGCTCTCGTTAAATTCCTCCAGACAAACCCTGGAGTACACGTAGGTGCTGGACCGGTTGTACATGGTGCTTGTGTTCTGGTCACTATTGGGCAAATTGTCTTGTCTTCTCTTTCTGCATCGACAGTGCAAGTGTCAGTATAGCAACAATTAGAAGTGCTCTCATCTTCACACCATTCATTGGTTACTCCAGGCTGTTTAGAGAAAGTTTGGAATATTACTTAGTAACGTAACTATCAAATTGAAGTGTTTTTTAGTTAATACACAAAGTCAAACTGAGAAGTGCCAATCGTTGTACTTTGTTAAAAATCGATGGCATAAAAAAAAAGTAGAAATATTTTTTGTAAGATGACCTTAACACACACAATCTTGTTGAATAATATCAATGAATCTTGGGATTTAATTAAAAAAAACTTATGAGGTACTTTCAACGCTTTGTTTAGTTTCCTACCCTAGATCTGTCAAATTTCACAGACCTGTTATCAAACTGCTTGTTTATAGTACTAATATTGTTGTGGCTTTTAATTGTCGACTGTTCCATATTGTACACAGCGCTATATATTGCTTTACCTTGAGACTATGGTAAGACATGGTTAAGTTTCAAATATACCGTAATCCTATTGCTGATTGACCTTCGTTACAGCATTGTCAAAAAAAAAAACAGCAAGCGCATCCATTGAATGCAGTACCATTATCTCACCTCATATGCTTTAATGTATTCAACTACACCATTATTGTCCAATGCGCAAACTTCGCAAACTGTCAAAAATAAATAAATATGGTTGAAATTTATTAATTAATGTACATATGCTTGGTTATAACACCACCATTCGACTTCCATCAACATCCAAACCTATACATCTGAACCTTTCCCTTTGTAGCATATTCCATATAAGAACTAGTAATCAGACTAGAGTTACTATCGAATATGAAACATTCATGCTTATCCCTAGTACTACCGAATTACATCAAAAACTATAATGAATTCAATAAAATAAGTCTGACAACAAATCATTGTAATATATATATATATATACAAATAACATACCACATTCGTATTTTTCTGGGCAGCATTCATCGCCAGTGGGATAAACCTTCAACACCTCATGTTCTTTACAGATGACATCAGTGATACTCTGTTCACAGGTTACCCTTTCTTCTCTCTAAATAAGGAAGTTATGCATATACACAATGGATCTCTTACGCATTGTTAGACTAGTCTGAATTGGATTCCTTTTACAGTTATATTTAAATGAGTAATAAACTTACTGTGGAACACATTTCAGTAAATAAAAAGGTACCTGTATAAAACATTGTGGTTCTGTTGCTACTGGATGGTTTTCACATGTGTATTTAATGCAATATGTCTTTGCGCCTTTTTCTGGTGTTGGAATTACCCTGAATGATATGTAGTATTTTTCCAAAATATTTCCATATAAAGCTGGTTGATTAGTAAAACAATAAATGTATTTTGATATTAATAAAATTATATCATCTTTATGTCATGAGATAAATTTTTATTTATTCGCAACGGAACAATTAATTTGTCCACTCAAGCTATCAAATATGCACCTTACAAACTATTGAAAATATCTGCATTTCAAAGTATTGCCCCATATTTGCTAACAGGTATATATGTGTAAGTACTTAGTAAGGCTTTGAGCTTGATAATCTTTTCTTTTATTCTCAACAGATAAGCAGAGCTAAATTATTGAAACTTACGGGAATACTTTCTTCCACGATGAACTATTGGATGTCTTGCCAGCTTCACAACTGTCATTCCTCAGCTTACATTCTAAGTAGAAAAGACTTGAATTCATATTGAATAATATGACAATTCTTGGTGTACATTATCGATTGAATTTAGCGATAACGTAAATAATACTCCCATACTATATGCCAATCTGAATAAATAAGGATCTCGAAACACATTTTTACTACCTTACCTCATTTCATTCAATTCAAGAGTCTTGTTGCACACGAACACAAATATATTTCTGTAACGTTTACAGAAATATATTTGTGTTCGTGTGCAGCAAGACTCTTGAATTGAATAGAATAGCCATTTACACTCTTGTCACAGCATCCTTGCGTAATACGCATACGGATCCACCTGCGCAAAGGCATAGAGAGCAAGAAAAGGTAGTTAGTTTCACGCAACCTCAACTGTTAGTTACTTCATTTCGGATCAGTTTTTAATCTATATTTATATCTCGACTTCATCATTTAGTCATACCGCATTCGCAATCCCTGCAGTTGCTGCATTTAGATGTAGTCGAATTTGAGCATATTTGTGTGTAGTACGTTGGATCACAGGATGGAATTGGTTTATATTCTTCTTTGCAATCATACCAATTGATTGTTCCATTATAACAGAGGTCTCCTGTCGTGTCCATGGCACACCATTCACGTTCGCAAGCATCGGTAGCAACGGGGAAGTAAATGGTTTGCCCAGGCTTTTCAATAGAAAAAATACAAAATTTACTTGAAATCATAGTAAAGATTAGAAACATCTGTAAACTTTACAAACAATGTGGATACAGTCCAATTGTAAGGAATATATATATATGTGAAATCCAAAGTTTTAAATTCTCATAGCTACCGGTAAATTAATTTTTAAAGAGAAAGTCATGATATTTCATGCATAATATTTTTCTGCGGGACGGGACATTTAAATATTAACTCTATAAACAGATTTTTAAAACATGTTTTTATTTGTGTATTAATTTTAATTATTATTTAGAACTTACTGTAACTCGAAGTTGGGCTCCAGATTTGGTTTTGCAAACTTCACATTTTTCTGAACAGAAAAAACAAATTTATTGAACAGGCAAAATCATCAAAGACGCTGTATACAAATAGACAATATGTGGAAAGTCAATGAAGAACAAGAAAAACTTAAATTACGATTTAGAACGCACAAGGCTTATAACGCTGTCTGTCGGTTTAAGACGCCAAAAAAAAATCAAACATGCCAGGGAACAAGGTCATTTTAATTTCAAACCTAAATATAGAAAATAAAAAAGCATAACAAGATTGCGAATTACATGTTTGTATCAACATTGCGAATATAGCTACATAGAGAGGCATGATTTCGAATTTAACATAAATGAATTAAAAATAATCGTATGTGATAATAAAGAATACAAATTTTGTGAAAATATAAAAAAAATAAAACAATAAGCTCTTAAAATATCTCACTGCAAGTATGACACATGTTCTCTGTTGTATACCAAGTGCATTGAGAGTCTCTCTCAGTCTCCAAGATGCACCTCTGCGTCATTTCGTCAAGAATATAACCCTAGATAACACGAATGCAAATTAGGAAAGCAACACTTGTGAGATAAAAGTAAACGGAATGTTTATTTAATATTTACTAAAAATATTTCCGAGTATATTATTGGTTTTGCAATTTTAGATAGGACAATGGTTGATAATAGATCATAGTATAATTATATAAGTTGAGTATGTGTGGTTTTGAATTTTCATTTCTCTTGCAGGCGTCATCTCTTCTTATATATCTATTTCTATTGAATTCAAAAGGTAAAGGGTATGCATAGATGTTTCTCATCTTATTAAAAATGTTAAAGCACGCTGTAATAAATTAAACTCACATCAGGACATTTAGGGAAGCACCCCTCAACACACCAGTGCGTGTCTTCAGGCTGTTGGCAATCGCAGCATGTGTCGGTGATGCAAGTTGCACACGGTCTGTAGTGCCATAGACAAATGTCTTCATTATCATTGTACTGTTCACACATGATTGCTAAAAATATAATATGACATGATGGAAATATCATCTGTGAAGAAATTTAAAGTAGGGGACGTAATTTAGGCATAATTTATGATTTTTATTGCACGTCAAAACCAAACTGTTCACATTACAATTACATGTATAACTAAAAGTAATACAAATTAGAATGCAAATACAACAGAAAATCATGGTTTCATCAAGGCAAAGTGGGAGGGATTTAATTTCACGCTTATTCTCCGATGCCGTATCATGGAAAATTCATTGTTGATGCAATTTTTCAGACACTTTTATTTGACATACATTTGAAGAATTTACTTACGACACAAGTTATTGCTTCTCCATTCAATAGGAATGCCGTTATCAGCACAAGTATGTGCATAGTGAGCAATTGCGCTGCAAAGACATTCACAATCTCCGCCACCATCACATCCGCATGCATCATGAACACAGATATCAAAATACTCTTGTGGATCAACCTACAACAAAATGAACTGCACGAAAGAGCTATATATCAAATATAAAATGACGATCCAGTACAGCGAGAACAAATAAAAAACGAAATGCCAGCTAAAGGTTTTATTCAGGGAGCTACATTAACCGTTGAGAAGTCTTACATGGTCAACGACATTTTTTACAAAACAAAAATCGAAGAGAGGATTACTTACAGTTGAATGACAATCCGAAAATAGACCGTTGGCTTGGGTTATTGTTCGGCATTTGTTTATTGCCCATTCTTTCCTGGAGATGTCTGTGCATGATGCGTTGATATGTGTAGATATTGAAGAGTCTGGACAAGTTGTGGTTTGTAGAGGAAACTGGAATAATGCAATAATAACTTTATTTGAATAGCGGTGGTTATTTATAGATCATTCCTATACCCTTGAAAACATTTGGATTGAAAAAGATAATTTTACCGCTGGTGTAGTTGAACAAGGCGTTATGGGTATAATTGAAAGTAAAAAGTATTTCCTTATTATGGGCTTGGACATTGCCGTTAAAAATATTCCAACATCTTAAAATGATATTAACACATCTAAAATATTCAAAAAATATCGAACGACTTAACCACCTTCCAACTATTTCCAAAGTTTATAACATTCTCAGTTTTTAGGCCAGTAGAAAGTTTCAGATCATTGTCATCTTTTCCGTCGTAATTACCACACATACCGCATGTTGTTCCCTGTTAATAATGAATAAATGAGTAACAATTTGGGGGAGTTTGGTAACCAATAACGATATACTTATATTATGAAATAATTAATAAGCTACGTGCATGAGAATGTTAATTGTGTTACTTTATAAGAGGATGTCAACTTTATTTATCCAGAGTAAATTCTCATTGGGTTGCGCAGTGACTGCAATTGGATTAAATGGAGACGCGTATTATTTGTTTATACCTTGACTACTGGACTCACCGAATAAAATCATTAGGGTTTGATAATAAAAAATGTACCTGGAATTCTTCCGTCAATCTGATGTAAATTCGTGTTTTATTATCCCACAAAACAGTCATTCCGATGCAAGTATCGATAACTGTGAAAATACCCTTTTGCTTGATAGTGAATGTGCCAGCAGTTTCGTGATCTGTAAATCCTGTTATTGCGCGACGGAATCGAGTACCAGGGATAGTTTCAATTACTGGCTCACTGCCTCGTTCGACAGTGATTTTTTGGTTCTGGAAAAGATAATTATACAATGTTTATATCATATATTGTATGAGCACCTGTCTGATACATCTCTTTATAGTTCTCTCTCAATAGCTCTACTATTGATTACGTTGATCGCGCATCGATTAGTAGATATGTGATTTCGAGATTTCTATGTGTTGAGTCTTTATTGGAAGCTTATTTGAGTCACACACAGTCGTGTTTGAAAGTGGACACATTGATGTAGGACCTATTTATATAAGCTATATATTTATGTACGGTACATATCTTAAATCTAAAAGGAAGACAAACAAAGAAAGCTATTGAGGACAACTTCGACATTCACTGCTTACCTTCACTGTTACGACAAGAGCTTTTGAACAAGTCATCCCATGAGATCCGCATCTTGTATTCTTTGTGTGAACGCTGAATAACCCACCATTCGGATTATTGGGACAATAATCCTGAAAATATGTTTCATTAATTTGGCTCGAAAAACTAAACTTCAACGTATTTCATTCAATAAACATACGCATATATTGTAAAATTATGCATCATTCAAAAACAATATTCCATTCACCTCTTTGAGGGCAATGAAGAAATGTCGCTTCTTATTCCCAGGACATATTTTAATTTCACTACGCTATTATTATTAAATCCCAGAAACTGAACCTTTTTATATTGTAGTTTGTGAAACGTTTGTCTGTGAAAGCAATGGGCCTGACAGTGATGGCGTTATAGTTAGCGTTAAATCTATCTAATGCCAGCCAATATTGATCTAATTATGGAATAACAATTTTGAGCTCTAACTGCTTGTCTACGATCTAAGCCACGGTGTGACAAATTCGTCATACTCTACGCTGAATCGGTAAACTTGCACTCCCATGGGGCTAAAGACTTGTTAGGAGCAAAGGTTAGAAACAATTCATTAAAACTTATGTCACGTCTAAAAACTTAAAATAGATTATCTGAAAATGCAAATCCCCAAATGTATTTGAGATTATTGTAATGTAGTACATTTTTCTCTTAAAACAAATTTTAACAGAGAAATGAAATATGCAAGTTATGCAGATATACAATATTAAGGTTGAAGGGCGGTTAATTATTTATTTCTGGGAACATGTTGATTTCACTTGACGTCATAATTACTTTACTTACAGTGGCAAGAACGTATTCACAATCTCCCTCGAAGTCGTATCGCAAACCATCGAATGACTTGTAATGCGAGGCTCCGACGGCCCAGCACGATCTTGGACAAATAAGATCCGTTTGCGTGAATGTTCCCCCCATGCATGTTCTGGGATATAAAAATGCGATTTATTTCACCATATTAGTTGATTCCAATTGTATTGCTTCATTTTTTTATGCTTGCGAGATACTCTGTCGAATATATATCAATGTTCCAAGTCAAGAAAAATATTGCGAAATAAATCACAATGTGAAGAAGTTCCTGATTTACGATGAAGGTGTTTATTTAACTGACACCACATTCATTTTTGATATTTAACCACTCACTTGTTCATTTTACTAAAGACATAAAAACACAATCAATCTAATGTTTATTATTTAAAAGAATGGTTCAATAAATTTTGCGTTGAAAAAGAGTGTCCCTTTGCCAGTAATAATTATATTACGGTCCATTAACCCTATACTAGTTACTGTTCGCGTAATTCGCGATTATGAACGTGAATAACTGGAAATATTGTATTGAAAAGGTCTGACAAAATACATTAAAAGCATCATTGTAATGGTCAAAAAAGAACTCATTATTAATGCGGTATCTCCAGAAAATCACTAATTGACTTCTCCTTCTTTTCCAACCAAGCGATTAGTTGGCAACGAAATAATTTTCATTTATAATTTTACGCACAGTGAAATTATAAAGAATATGAAAAGGGCGTTAACACATTTAAAGTGACCCAGTATGCCCGCAAATGAAACATTTTTTGCACGCAAGTAATAATTTCGAATTGAATTACACCATTAATTTTTAGCTTCAATAAAATTTTAACAAACACCATAGAAAATCAAAACGTTTTTAAGTCAGAGTTTTCTACAATAGTACATGACTCGCTAATAATTACTCACAAATCACACTTGGCCAGATAAAATATACCTCGTATTATTGATCAAATAAATAAAAAAGATAAACGTGATTTGTGGTTTATATGAAAAAGATAATTTCATAGATGGGCGTAACAACATCATTTATGTTTATTTGCGTTCTTGCGTGCGTGACGACGCATACACTTTGCGTGACGATTGCGTGAGAACCCTTACGAAAGTTGGCATGATTAATCATCTTATTTATATTTTTAGGTTCAGTGTGTAGAGAATTATACATAATTAGGTTGGTTCAAGAGTAAATCATTGCAGCGAGAACCAAATTATGAAATCAATTAGGAATATTAAATGTTTAAGATATGTAAAATGATTTGTTTGAAAATAGCGCTTGAGAATAAAAACGATCGTCTTGTTCCTGTCTGTCAAATTGTAACTAATAATGAATGTGTATAACTGCTGTAATATTTAAATAACAATTTAACGAAATCGATTGATACCACAAATTTAGGATTTAAATGCTTACGTCGTGTCAAAATTACATATTACAAAATGCTGTTCTGATGTTGGATTAAAAAATCGATTCAAATGTTTGATATTTGAAAACTTGGAGAAGGTTTGGTGAATTGAAAAGTACAAACTTTCAGAACTAGCATTCGGCCAAATACTATTTCTACTATATTTAAACTGCTTTGATGGTCCATATATACCACAAAATACCAAAGATATGTTATGATTCATGTTGTTTGGGGTTCGAATGATTGATTGATTTGAGGTTGATTTTAACTCCTCTACTTTTGTTAACTAATTTTCTTCACAGAATTAAAACTTGAAAATCGATTCATGAAGCTGAAATGGAATTAAACTTAGGCCTCATAAACCCGTGAACATTGGATTGAAGAATTATGCATTGCGGAATGCAATTCAGTTTAGTTTCTTGTATAAAGTTCTTCTTGAATTTGATTTGTTTCCGTGAGTGGTTCTTATTCTATCAGGTGTAGAATATTCACATCTCCTTCACCACTCAAGAGAAAAGTGCCACATTAATAAGATTGTCGTAAAACACAAAAAATTGATAATTAGTTTGAAATAAATTATACTAAAAAATATTATCCAATGAAAGCCCAACATAGATAAATACTTACACAGTATTGCAATCATCTTTAAACGATTCCCCATGTTTGTAGTATTTATCACCGGCATAACAACCGCAAGTCTCTTTTGGAACACAAGTATTCTCATCCGTTCTATACAAACCGGGTTTGCAAGTGCATCCTTTAAATAAGACATTTGTTGGAAACTGATTAAATTACGCTTTTATAAAATGTATTCAAGGTGTACAAAATTCGCAGTTAACGAAATGGAGCTTCTAAAATTTGTACTCACCGGGCATGCAAGCTCCTGCCACGCATAGTTGATCTCCATCTCGGCATGTTTTTTCGCAAGCGGCTCCAAAGTCTGATGTGTCCTCACATGAGTGATAAACCATGTCGGGTGATGGACAAGCAATCGTTTCGTCTGCAGCAACATAGTCATTATTTTGCCTTAAATTCTATTGTTTATTTATTTGTGAAAAACTCTAATTTTCCAGTCTTATATTCATAGCAAATCCGTCATGACATAAATTTAGAGGCACAATCTTTCATTATATAATTAATTATTTACTTTATTTTTTTTTTAAAAAACATGACTCACTTATCTCATTACACGTCATTTCTCCGGAAAAGCAAGAGCTGAAAGAAATTGAATGTGTAGTTAATATATAATTTAATACATCAAATAGATCTCTTCATGGATATTGAATGATGGCCACTATACCTAAATAAGTACAAATTATACATACCATTCTAAATTTATAAATGTAGTAATTTCTCCTTGTTTATACCAACTACCATCATGAAGACACGGACATTCTTCTTTTGGAACACATACTCCTTTCAATAAGAAAGATATAAATATTTACAAAAGTTATGGCCCGGCAAGTAGTATGAGTTATTACAATTATTTTGGTGATTAGGCAATTTCACTATCAGACTGTGATAAAATATTTGTAATGAGATAAAGAAAAAATAAAATCGTAGGCGTTCTTATCCATTCGGACTTTGATCTATTTATGGTAACCAACTGTATTATTGCCATTTCTCTCCCGAACTATTCTCTTTTTTGTACCACCAATTTCTCGTATATCCGTATGACAAACGCATAAAATAGGATACGATTCGACATAAATATACAGTATTACTACTGATATGCTTTATCTCACTGGGCAGTAAATAAACCATGCACTCTCACCTAAGTCATTTCTGTAAGTTCCTTCTGGACAGAAACAGCTCAATTGGATTACACTTGCACAAAGGTTGTTAAACGAAGAGCATGAATCGGCGCAGGTCGAAGATTCACGATATTCGAGTCCCTCGGGGCATTCTCCCTCTATAAATAAAATAAGTTAAAAATTTTAGAAAAATATTGATAATAATATCAACATCATACTATGGGTATGTCAAATATTTGAGATGAAATAGATTATCAAATAATTTGGTATTAAAGCATTTAGGAGGTAACTATGGATTATTTGTCTCATACCGCATTCTTCTATGTCGAATGGTTGCACAGGTATAATTCCAATCGACTTTCTCTGCTCACACACGTTAATAAGCGTTCTACTTGTAGAACAAGCGAACATTCTGCTCATTTCAACTGATTCAGTAAAATAGCACAGGTCATTTGAACACGCCTCGACTGCCTCATAAGTGACGCTACAGCTCGAAAAGTCGAACATTAAGTTGCAAATGTTTTCTTCCTGCGGCACCCCTGAAGTACGTGAAACAAAATTAGCATGAAACGCACATTAAGATGTTCTCAAACCCGCCAATATTAGAGACTATTAAACGGTATAAAGTATCTATATTGTCGGGCTGATGAGACAATTGTAAACTATTACCAAGTTTATTTATACGTTTTACAAACATGGGCTACCACCTTTGCTCTAATGATAAAGTACTTACTACAGACATGAGAACCAACTGGCTGCAAGCAAGACCGATCCGTTTTCCAATCGCCAAAGAAATCTGGCAAGGTTTTACTAATAAATTTTGATTTCAATCTTTTGTCGTCTCCTTTCAGTCCATTATAGTTTCCAGCTATTCCACACATTTTGTCCGAGTAGGTTGGCGGTACAATAACATACACACCAAACATTCTGTCGTACTTCACAACTACGTCTTTTCCGATGATTTTTAAAACCATTGCATAAACGTTGCTTTGTATTTCCACAATTCCTAAAAATATTTTGAGGTTTAATTTGGAGTCATTCAGACCCCTTCAAAATGAAGAAAAACAAATAAATGATGTTACACTGATAAATGTATTTCGGTTCTTTGGAAATGTGTTTGGAATGGAGAATAACACATGTATATCCAGCATTAGATACCGCGAAATTGAGTTTTACAGAAACAATCAGTTAATAAAATTTCAGTTAATTATTAAGCGACTTGTATTGGGTGAGACCATTTCTAACCACGTAACTGTTTACTGAACCGCGCATATTTGGTAATTGCCATCTCCACACGACGGATGGCGATGTGACTGGTTGATTTGCGATATGATATAGAACAGGTAAACCTGCGTGCATGTGTTAGTCCACTATGACAGTGATCGATCAACTTACCTTTCTTATATGGTGCCGTAACTAGTTCGCCATCAACTTCGATTGTACTGTCGCGTCTGAGAGTGTAACTGACAACCTTGTCACCAAACTGGACATTCACAGTCACATATTTGTAATAAAATCCATTTCGCTAAAAATGAAATAACTCTTAGATAATCAAGTGCTTCTGAAGATAAGATATTAATTAAAGTCAATCAAACATAATTATTAATTATCAATCCAATATTAATTAAAGTTAATATCCATTCTTCAGTGAACAGAAACAGATGGCGTTAGAGAGATATTTCTTGTGTCTTCGTCTTTAACCATATTTTATGTGCTTCTCTCACAGACTTTTTAATTAAATTTTGATAAACTGATGTGATATCGCATATTGTATTGCTTGAGTTTGAAATGTAGATATAGGAAGGAAAAAGTGTACATATAAAACTTCCTTTTTGAATATGCAGGCAATTGCCGAATTTAAAATATTCGTGAAATTAATCGATCACCTATTAGATGTTATACATAGATTGTAACAAATCCAACAACGTAAAAAGTTACCTCTTCATAATGTAGAATAACTTCAAAATCACCATTTCCACAATCCTTGGCGAAAATGTGGCTGCAAGCATCCAGGTATTGGAGTTGCTGACCGTCGAACGTAGTGTAACGGAACATGCCAATTGCTGTGGCAACTCCATTACAAGTATTCTCAGTGCAGATCCACTTTCCTCCAGAGCAAGTACTGAAATTTTATTGAAATACCACATAACGAAATCTTATTTTTGGGTTGCTTAGCGCCGTCTATTCATAAAAAATATAGTTACTCGTCGAATGTCTATCGCCGTCTATTTATTACAGAAATAAATGATAGTTAAAAGTTAGTTATATTATAGCTGACAGTCGAGTAAAAAATGTTGCTAACTCATGATGTTTCCAGTTTTATTTTTTTGGACTTATATGACTTTAATACCAAACGCACTTAAAATCGCAAATGTCTCGTTATGAACTTACAAATTGTTATATTTTACTCTTTTTGCCATTGACACAAAAAAAAAATTCATTATGTTTGATTTTGCAAAAGAAATATATAGTTTTTGGGTTGATATTCAACAAATAATTATTTATAATAATTTAGAAGAGTCTTCCAGAAATCGGGTGACAATCATTTTCATGCATAACCGTATCGCCACTTGGCGATCCATCTTTGGCCATGCTCTGTAGTGCCGAATTAATTTAATTAAGCAATGTAGCTAACCATGTGTTGTTACAAGAACTGTCAATTCGGTCACTCGGCTCAAAAAATTCTCCATTTTGTTCACATTTGCATTCCTCTGCGGCGACACATTTTCCTTCCTGAAGAAAGGTGCCTGGAAAACAATAGATAGCAGTGGACATCGTCACATGAAACTAAAATTTATTTATCAAAAAAAAACAATAAAATATGGTATTTCTACGCCAGAAGTAAACTTTTTGGTGGGTTACATAGTAAGTAAAGCGTTATATAAAGAAAATGGTCGACCTGGGTTGGTTTACACCAGTTTCATTTTTGCTTCGAACTTCATATTATACATATAAATAAATAAAGCATCACGTTCTGAGTTTGCACTTATTTTACAATTAGGGATTTTTATTTACAATTACAACAATTGAACCTATTTTAGGTAAACTTAATATACCTTCAATACACTCGCATCCGCTGTTGCAGAAACCCAAAATTGCGTACTCCCCCTCATTCCCGAGCATAGCACAAGTTCTCGACGATGCGACACATTCATTCCATTGAAATCCGTCAGGGCACGACTCCACAACTAAAATAAAAATCGAGAAAACTAATTTTACGCACCATCAAAATATTTTGCTGAATACAGCAATATGACGTTTTATCAAGTTTTAACGGATTGAAAAAAAAAATTTATTAATAACATCCCATAGCAGATCGGTAGATTATATCTTATCTTACCGCAGTTGGCTTCACTTCTCCACTCTGATGGACTACCCTTTCTTATTGAACACTGACGTGAATATTGAGCTGTAATGTTGCAAAGTAAATCGCCTTGTCTGTGCACATCTCCTTTGCAAATGTCGTGCAAGCAGAATGCATAGAAGGGTGTTGGATCAACAACAGTGAGACATGTACGAAAGACTTCTGAGATTAGAATGTTGCAAATACGGCGTGTACTCTGAATGGGAAAGAAAAGAACATACAATTTGTAGAGCTGCGTAGATACATGCGATCAGTGTTGAAATTATGCCTGATGAATGCGGTGTTTTAAAGTTGAATACGTGAATAATTCCTTAAAACCACTAGATGCCATTTATATATTTGGTGTGATAAAATTAAAAAATAAGGATCCATCATGTCTAAGCGTCGAATGTACATTTTAGTTGTTCCCAATTAAATTGCGAATACCTTTTGAAGTATAACTTCCGCAACGAAATTTTTACACACAGAGGAAAATTCGACCTATTTCATAATTGTGCTATTCAAATAGTGTATAAGTTAACTTACATCGTGCTTCATGCATTGAGACATAGCCGGATCGATTTCGTCAGGAATGATTTTATTATGACACGTGTCATGGGATTTTTCAAGAAATACCGGTATGCCTTCTGCTGACAATATAAAAAAATAAATTTTTTTTTTTTCATATATATGTGTTATTCAAAATTAAGAACTAACATTTTGGAGAAATAAGATTTCTCTTCTTTAACTTTAGACCAATATTTAGAGAAGCATATATATGGTTCATAATTTCAGACTGATGCAGAAATAAATAAAGTTATTAGTCGCCGTACTTTAATAAACTAATATATTTAACAACTTAAAAATTCACCTGATACGTCATTACTTTTTTCACCGTCCATGTTTCCGCACAAACCGCATGTTTCTCTTGCATATTTTTTAGGCGAAAACCAGTAGACCGTTGATGTATCGCGATTGTATCTAAGTTCCGTTCCGTAATCGCTACTCTTCGCCACGATATCTCCATTTTCATAATATATTTCAACATCCTCGGCGCGGAGAGGCATTCGGCTTATAAAATTGTAAAATACTGATAATCATAATGCTACTCGTGTTATATTGATAGCGGAATATATTTAAAACGAACGTACGGGAAAATAAACTTGATATAAAAATATGAACTTAACATCTTACTTTGATATATGTCAGGGATAACCTACAAGACACTATTGTTTACCATTTTTATGGTAAAAGAGTTTCAAAAAATAATGACAATATTGACAGATATAGTCAACTGCTTCAGTAGTCGGCGCGATTTGGGATGAGTTTATTACCTATTGCTGAGAAGTATCGGAGCAATTTCTTTGTGCAAGTTTTTCACACTAGAAGGGTGGAAGCAGGGGGATGTGCGCGCTGCTTTAGGAGTCCTACAATTCGGCTTCCCAGCATTCATCAATAATTATAATATTTAGGGGCGACCGGCGACAATTGTTACAGGGGGAGTTGTTACAACCGCTTCGAGCACAAAATAAAGGGCTTCAAACAGTTTGATTCAAGCTAAATGTTTATTTATTTATCAGAATCAACCGGGTATGATTTAATATCAACTCATTTTAAAAGTGTAGTGGTGAGAAGAGACAATTGTGTAAATTTACTAAATTTTGCTAACTTTTCAAAAAAAAATAGTGTACTACTTTTTTTTTTGACCCAAATTATAGATAAATTTATTTGTATAGGCAAATGCGGTATGATGGGGGTGAGGTTCCAGTTTTCTACTCCTATCAGTTTGAACAGTACAGCAGCATCGAGAAATTCGAGTTCCACATCTTAGCACTGCTCCGAAGCACATATGGATGTGAACAACTTTTCATTTATGAAATCAATCAAAAGTTCTCAACGAACATAATTAATTGACGGTCACGTGACATCGTTAATTAGAGTTAGTACTGTAAAATTATTTTAGCTTGATATTAGCATGCTGCTGGTCCAAAACTGATGCCAAACGTCGGGACAAATTCAAATAAAAAATATTAAACTTTTGTTATATTTTTTAATTTAGGATTTAAATCAAACGATTGTTAATGAATGTTTCGGATAATTGTATATAATGATTTATAACTTTTTGTAATAAATATACAGAGAATCGAAATATTTATAAATGCAGAAATTGCCAAGGAAATGCAATTGACTATTTAAAAAAGTAAAACATCACGTCTGTCTCATAAATTACGTCGCAATGTATGTCATAAACTACACCTAAACAAGTATAAATTATAAATTCAGATCGGAATTTGTATGCGCCCTCGCATAAATCCCAACATGTGATGTGGCCCGGAAAACCTGCGACACACCTCGAGTAAGATATTCGGTCGATTGTCGGACCTCGAATTGAACCAAAATTCAAACAAAAGTTCTCATAGTTACCTAGAAATTGACTTTTTGTCCAACAAAACATCATCGTTCAAAACAAGTTCATGTCCAAGATAGGATAGACGAACTTCACTAATGCAATCATCACAGTCTATGCTTCGTGTCAACCAAACCTGAACAATAGAGAAAACAGTGCCTCAGAGAAGTGTACAGGTTACAAGAATTTATGATTGGTAATTGGTATTATGTTTTAAGTTCTTCTACATAGTTTGCATTCTTGCTCTTGAGGTGGCATTCATAAATGACATATCTCATTCTATGCTTTGAAGTAGTCTTGGTAACGAACTAATAAATAAGTGAAAACACATGGAACTTTAGGGCAATAATTTTATACAATCTGTCTAAAATTCAAACTCATGTAGCATCGTTGAAGTATTTTCATGCAACCAAGGATCGCCGAATAAGAAAACCAAGTTTGCGTCGGGAAACCTTATACATACAAGAGGATTGCCGCGCAGGGTGCTCCAACACTAATGTCCATCTATATGAACAATTGACTTGTTAATTATTCGGCCGACCTATGCCTGTAACCACCTCCATGGGACCAATATTAAAATCTGGTTATAGCCATGACATCTTCATTTCGCTACATCGCTTTTGAGCTGCTGCTGTTCTTATTTGCGGACTAAAAATGGCCGTCAGACAACAGATCCAACGACACATTTATTGTGATTTACGTCATAATTATTTTTTGATTTTCTCTCATCCCTAGGGAGACCAAATCACCAACGTCGTTTAAATTGTTTGCATGGGAACACTCAAGTGTGCATAAGCAAGATTACACCGAAACGATTTGCACGTGAAAAATACGCAACGCATTTTCGTTCATATTCTTTTTCCCTGGTTTATACTTCGTTGGTGTGCAACTAGGATTTTGTGCTGCTGTTAGTAACGTGAAGCGCACATCTGGGGATGCAAGGAAACTTCGAATAAAAATGAATAAAAGTCGAAAAAGTTCATTACTGTCCCCGTTCGAATTTGCCTTCTTGGGAGCAATGAATGACAATGACAGGGACCCTTTTACGCAAAACAGGGATTTTCGTGTTAATTTTTGTGTTTGCCACTTATAGTACCACGACGGTTTCAAAATCCAATAATCGCCCAGCTCTGACGTTTACTAAGCATTGTAGCAAAATAAAGCTAAAAAAAATTTAAACTAAACCGCTCTGAAATATTTAAGTCGTGAGAAGTTGGAAATCATGTTTGCGCCGCGACCAATAGTGACTAAAAGTTTCATCGTTTACTCACGGATGGGCTTTGGTCATCATCGCATAATCTTGCCATCAAAGTTTCGCATGTGCTGCCATGGTATGCATAGGCGTTGTCAAAGGTAATGATATTTTTTCGACCAAAGACTGAGCACATTGCTCGATTACCGGGTACATCATCTTTCCACGCTTCCATTGGCACTACCGGATTGTAATCAAACATGGCTAGAAAAAAAGAATTTTGATTTATGACTCGTCCAACGGAGGTTTGTTATAAGTTATCGATACGAATTATGTATTTATACCAAACATACTTCCAATAAATCGGATTCAGTCGTGAATTCGCAATATGCTTCGTTAAATAGAATAGATCCTGTCGATTTTAACATATTTAATTATTGTTCGAGAACTTGGTTAAGTTACTTACTATAATCGCAGCCATTGCCGAATCGTTTGTCGCCACATCTTCCAGGTGTGTCCTTTATAATATCTGAATTATCAATAAAATTTGTTATTTTGCTAGTAAAACAATTAATTTTGTGTCAGGCAGTAACCATAATTACAAGATGTTAGTGGAAATTAAAAGTTAAATTAAATTGATATTGCATAATTATGAACATTGATCCATTATATATATATATATGCTGGCTAGTTCAGCTGTTAACAATAAAAAATTGGAATTAATAGTTTAATTTAATCATAAAATAGTAGTAGTTTTGTAGTTTTTTATTATTATATATCCTTCGATTACTGACCATCTCTGTCAAAAAGGTCACGTTGTCCATCGTCGCCTGAACTTTCGTCAAGTTCCCCCAGAACAGCTCTGAGGGAATCAGTTTCAAAAAATCTAGAACAAAATGACAAATTTCATATTCCGAAATGGTAGGCGTATCGGCCAGTTGAAGTCGATTATATGGTTTTGAATAGAGATGAAATAATATATCATATCAAATAATTTGATAATTTATTTCCTATAGACTGCACTACATTTAAATACTTTACAGGTTTTCAAATTAATGTTATTTACCATATTTTCTCACGACTTGCACTTTATATATAAATCAAAATTTTTTTTTATTTGTTTATGAGTTCAACTAGGATGGAACTTACTGTCCGAACGTGTGCTGGGCAGATCCTGTAAAATTAATGTAAAATAGTTTAATCAGTAAAATACTTGAAATAACATTAAAATGATTTGCTCAAAAGGCTTTTTCTTTAAAATCGAATCATTTCTACTTTTTCAATGTGGAGAAATATATGCACTTTCCGAACTGAAATAAAACAATTTTTCTGCGCACTCTTTGCGCACTAATTGGTGCAGGTGACTTGAAAATTTTACTGTCGCTAAATTAGATTAATACATCAGGGTATATAAAGAAGTCGAAGCGAGTGCACCCAATCCGTTATAAATAGAAACATGTTTCAAAACATACCCAACATTAGTAGAAGGACCGTAACTCGTAGCATTTTGACCTCTCGCCAAACTGATTAACAGACTGGCTGAGTATTTGCGTTTATTTCGCGAATTAAAAATATTCGGGATCTTCCGCTCACAAATCGCGAATGAACCAGACCAACCTCATAGTAGTTATTTATATATATCGCCCGGAAATTCCAATTAAAGTAGGCGTCACCTTCACGCGTTTACCATCAATACGCGTTTCGCACTTAATATTTTCAAAATAACATGGTGAACAGATCCATAAACGTGGCATTGTTTGGAAATGAATGTTATTTATTATAGCTGGCTCATGATTGAATAAATCGATCTATTTATCATGCTGAAAAGGATTTATTTTATATTCAATACTTCTAGAGTCCAATTTAATTCTTACATTACTGTCACTATTTCCAGGTTTGCCCGCGCGTTAAATTGAACTTTTCACGTCCAATGTCATAACTTGAAAAACTATTATGTAAACAACGCGTTTAGTCCTTGTTTTGTTTTAGTCGAATGCTTTTATGTTGTGTTTGTAATAAATGGTATCGGGGATAAAGAAATACAACCGTGGTATCTTTCAACTTTTACCGGGATATTTTCAAGGTTTTGACTTCGGTTTGACTCCACGTAAGCTAACATTCCGAAAGCGTAATCTGGTATCAATGGCTCAGTTTAGTTTAGTATGAATAATTGTATTCTCCTTCACACCTGACAAACTTCAGAATAGGATCAGGGTATCCAAACAATGAAAACAGAAGTACACCAGTTTTTCAAGATGCTTTTCATATTACCCTACACCTACAGTATATTGGTATTACAGGCAGACTCCATTGTAGTGGTGATTTGTTTTATCATTTATACTTCTCAGTATGTATGTCAGTTTCTATATGAAAATAATAAAAACGGATTTAAAAAAAATGACAACTGATAATACGTTGCAAAGAAACGATTTATAACTCTTTCAGTATAATCTATACCAGCGGTTCGCAAACTCTTTGTTCGTGCGGCACCAAATTATTAGGGAAAAAACTCACGGCGCACTCACACGAAAAAAAATGCTGCTTTCAAATAAAACACAAATTTGTGACCGTTAAAGTGTACATTGTGAAGTTTGTAAACATGTAGGCCTAAGGAATAAAGGCAAAAGATCGGATCAACTGGTATTATCGGCTTAGGTGGCGTAGGAGAGGTGGATATTCTTCAGCTGGAAAACGGGATCAACTGAAGAATCTCTACCTCTACTAAGACCAATTGAAGAATGAGGTGAGTTCAACTAAGGAATCTCCTCCCCAGGCGGGCCAGGGGGGGGGGGGGGATTCTTCAGTTGATCCAAAAAATCAACACTTGTTCCTCACCGCATTTAAAATAAGGAACGATAAAACATTTATAACAAATACAATATGTAAAATATTCAATCATATGTTAGTTATGTTTATCACAATTCTGTTCATTTTCAAGGCGCACATAGCAACTCGCCGCGTCGCACTTGCACCCACCCTTTTGGAACCGCTGCGCTATACGATTTAGCAGATTTGGGTATATCTTTGACCTGCGACTGCCCTAGAAATAGAAACTATTTTTGCCCATTTGTAGGTAGTGGCAAGAGCAAAACAAAAGCAATCGGAATTGCAAAATTTCGTCGGTCAAAGACTTATTATAGATGGCATACAATTAAAATGTCCAGGACTTGGTTCTGACAAAGATATTTGTACAGTCAAATTAATGACAAGTTTATCGTTGTTGTTGCATAGCGAAAAGAAGATACTACAGACAAAACGACAGTACAAATTAATGTCATTAATTTCTTCATTTTTCACAAGTATACACAACAAATTATTTTTCTTTTGATTTGTAACACTTCGGAGCTTGTCTCCATGATTATACTCACAGTGACGTGAAAGATTTTATCCTATTTTCATCACTTTAAAAAATATTCAACATAGCTTCAATGAGTTTACCAAGCCTAATTCAAAATGAAAGGTTCCAATAAAAAATATTTTGATTACTCTGAAATCCAAGTTGTTCCGTTATATTTTTTATATTGGTGTACTACTTCAGGCACATTTAGTAACAATAGAATAGGTGTGAGGGATTTACTTAATTTACAATATACAATGAAAAGTGCTTAAATGTAAGATTCATGTGAAGTCAACCAAAGTGAACACCATTTTAAGGGTACAGCTATATGTCTCATTTTCGCACTTTATATATTGCCCAAACCACATCACTTATGTGATTAATGAAAGATTAAATTATAGCATTATAGATGTTCAGGAATAACCCATTAACATGATTAATTTCATAGGTTTGGTCCACAAAGTATATTCAATTACATCAAACACAAGAACATAAAGAGGGATTAATTCTTTGAATTAATTATATTTAATGGGAAAATAAATAACACAAATTTATCAGGTAATATATTTAGTTCTTTAATTGATTATGAATGGGGGCTAAAAGCTTGTTTCAACTTAGCACTTCTAATTTGCTTGATGAACTCAGCACGTCAAAGCAGCTCTAAACATGTTTTAAAAACGGTAATTATCTTCTTTGGCAAGTTATATTGATTAAAAGATGTAATAATTGCTCAAATTTAATAAAATTTTCTTCCTTAGGTACAATGTGCAAATATTAAGTCATTGAGCGGATTCGTTCGCTCCATCAAATCAAATTGAAAAAGTTTTTTTCACATGATTACCTGTCGAAACGAATCGAGCGTGAATCAATGTTAAAGTTGGGTTATCACGCACACATTTATGTGGCAAATTTATTTCTAAATGAGTTTTTTAGATTTTTGGCATTTATTGCTTGCATAAAAATCTTCGTTTGCCAGACTAGAATTTTTAAAAGTCAACCCGGCCGAAATCGAAAATAAATTAGTTAGTATGTCCTGTTGATGACGTAGTCTGTCCCAAAGCATGAAACAAGAATGAAACTATGGATCAAATTTTCGCAACTAACCTGTTCTGATGTCTCCATGGAACGAACTAAAAGAATACCTGTAATTTGAACGATCGTTTCAGCTTGAGAATTATATTGAAGTCAATGCAAACTCCTGCTCTCAGCCGGAAACAACAATACCAGACGCAGTTTATCAAACATTGTCTGGTCTATGGCATTTCAGCAAGGGAGTTTTCATTATATATGTAATTCAGGGTGGTCCAAACTGCGGCCAGCGGGCCGCATGCGGCCCGCCGACACATTCCAAGCGGCCCGCAGAACACTTTTAGCGTTCACTACTATTGGCATATATTTGTATTTATTCGCAGAACAATTTCGATCTATTTTTAAACTATGCCAACTGGTTATAGTTAGGCTTATCATACGTCCCGGTTTAGCCGGGACAGTCCCGGTTTAGCATGTCATTCCCCGTCCCGGCGAAAGACGTAAATGTCCCGGTTTTGCAGTATGACAGTCATAAATAATTTTTCTATTTGATACTACTAGAATATATTTTTTTTTTAACGGAGGCGGAGATTTACCACTGATTCGCGTCTCAGACTTCGAGTATTTTAATTTTCGGTACATCGCCAGTAACCCTTGCCTCCGTCACGCAGGAGGGCCATAAACCCTGCGTTGATTCAACACCCAACTGTACTGTCGTTGGATCATCAGTGTGCCGAAAACAAAGTGCAAGTTTTCTAATGTGTCGAACGATTTCCAATATTTGAAGCAAAGACCAGCAGAGGATATTTTAAAAGTATTTACAGCTAATTTTGGATGCCCGGAATCTACCCTCAAGGGTATGAAAAACGGTTAAATTAAACCTTACTATGCTCCTGGAATGAAAGGTTGGCTTGTCAAATCCGCGCCGTCCCGTTTTTTTGCTTCAGAAATATTGTAAGCTTAGGTATAGTCCTTTTCCTGATCCCGATGTCGGGATTAAAGTTTGTTAAAATCACGGAATTTCATTGTATCTATAAACGTCAAGACGGTGGCTATGTGGGAATGACGTCCTGTGATCGGCAAAAAAAGAATGAATTGTCATGTGCAGACCAAAGTGACTAGGTTATAGTCACTTTGGTGCAGACATGACCCGAGACGTTTGGTGCATTTATTTTAGTCAAAATACTCAAGCTTCAAGCGATAGCAGTGACGAACCGCAGAGCTGACTTAGCGTCGCGCGATACAGTTTTCTTTTTATCTGGTTGGTTGTTTTTTGACGGTAGCACGAGGCCTCGCGCTACAAGTGATGAATTCATCATACAATGCGTGTAGAAAAAAAGTGACCGAAGTGAACAGAGAGTAAACGTATTTCCTCACGTTAAACCACAGTGTCTGGTGTGTTCCCAAGTAATATCTGTCACGAAAGAATATAATTTTAAGCGACATTACATAACCAAACACGAGAAAAGATATAAAAAAAAAACACGATATTTCTCAGGGAAGCAATTAATAACTAAAGGCTCATATAGAGACCTTGAAAAACTGATTAGAACGATAAAATGTCATTTTTAAATATATTTAAAGTGAGTAAACTCGCGATGTTTCGCGATGTTTAGGGTTTTCTCCGACTGCGGCCCGTGAGGCTTCCTCAAAAGTTTTTGCGGCCCTTCAACGTCGCAACTTTGGACCACCCTGAGTAATTCATTAATGTTAATAAATGTTTTACCACAAATCGGCATTAACTGATGCCTCGTGTTATGAATACTACATTGGTCTTAAAAGGTGTGCTTTATCCTTCCAGGCATTTCATTTCAAACAAGCCTCTGTATTAATATTTCGATTGGTATGCAAGGGCCAACCTTATTTTTGGATGGACTTGAACGTTTCTCTTATTCTGGATATTTCGCAGGATTCGGGTCAAGGCATTTAACGACTATGTGTAAATGAATATATGAATGGACGTTTTGGAAGATTTTCACGTCTTTCGTTAGACATCGTATGCTCAGCAGCATTCAGCACTAAAGTTCATTCAAAAGACGATACAGTTGAAGAACAGGAAAATGTGAAACAAGCAGAAAAGAGGTTTTCGGGATCTCTATTCAATTCGCTAATTTTGTTGAGCAGTAAGTAACTGCTTTAATATATTACATTATGTTTTCAATATATGCCTGAAGTGAACAAATCAGCAAGAGGCACATAGGCACGATATTATTGTTGTAGTCCTTTTCCGGATCGATAATCCTGGTCAATAAACGTGTTAACCTGTCACTGTTACGACTTGCCACGAGTCTCCATCTCCATCTTATCATCAAAGTTCTATCCGAAATTGCTATTTACATCGATGTTGAATTAAATTGGTAATTGTTTATACCGGTCATTGCGTCTGAAGACATTTATTTGCCTTTTTGTATGGATCTTTAAATAATTTCTTAGGTTCTAAACTTGAAAAACAGCAGATATTTTATAAATATTGCAATGTTCGGAATTTAGGCCGATATTGGTCGATTCGTAAATTATACTCGTATTTACGTATGACGTATTGGTCAAGATATTTTGTTTTGAGCTTATTATGAAAATATATAGCCATTTTCTATTTACAGTTTGCTTTTGAATGATTTTAAACATCGAAGAACAAGCAGAGTGTCGGTGCACAAATGCTGACTCGCATTGCGCATAGGGATTTGTCCAAAAAGATTTGTTTTAAAATAATTGTTTCAAATCGTTTTTTTTTGCCTGGTTTGTTCAAAATCGCTTACTTGTTGTTTTTTTTGTATTAAATAGGTCAAATCAAGAAAAATTTAGGCAAAACTCCCCTTATCAATTCTTGTAGGTAATAAACTATTCGAAAGGTCGCAGGAAGTTACGGACAGGTCGATGACTTGCCCGAACACGCCCTCTATTTTTTTTTTGACATACGATGCTTACAGCAACAAAACAAACAAACACGCCCTCTCAAGCTGTAGCACAACGCTAATGTCAAACTATATCACCACGTGTTGGAGTTGCGACCCGCCAGATCACAAACGCGGCGAAGTTTTCGGTTTTCAGTAAGCATTCCGGAGTCGAAATCAGGATTGCCATATTGGATTTTTAAGGCCAAATTTGCCATTTTTGGCTTTTTTCAAACTCGTTTGGCTTCAGAATTTCCGTTTGGCTTTTTGGCTTTTTCTTTGGATCTGAGAGTTGTACCAGGAAGAATATAATTCTATAAAAATTTAATGAAATGTGGAACTTTTAACTGCACTCAGCTATACAAGATATTAAATATTTAATTAATATACGTAATGAAATCCGCGCAAACATTCGAAACCACCAGCAATCCTTAAAACACCATAAGTGTCGTGGCTGTAATGATGAATCAGTTTTCAATCAAATTTTCAAAAATTCGAATAAAATAGTATATAGAACAGTATTTTGTTCTTATTCTACCTTCGCAGTCGCATGGTTGCCAAAAAAAAACGAAATTATCTTGCTTTATTAGGCTTCTTTCGTGAATTTAGATGTCTTTGCCGACAAGTAATCCGCCGCGAAAGCTTTTTGTTAATACGTGCGACTATCTAAAGTTCAAAAATCTACACGATATCTGTTCCACAACTCCCAGAACAAAAGTGAACATCGTTACATGAGTATTATCGTGGTTAGACATCTAGAATTTAGATGAAGGCATATATATTTTAATGGATTTATCTATAAATTGAACTAAATTTAATTCATGCAGCTTGGCATGATAGTCCCACTACAGACTTGTAAATGAGACTTTTAACCTAATTAGGGGAATAATAACAGGAAACATTGCATTATCTAAAAAAATCCGATTCGAGAGCGACCACAAAGCCCCGAGGAAATGAATTGGTCACTTCGTATGATATGGTCAAGTGTAAAAAATGTGTGAACGAGTACAATTCGATTGAATTTTAAGTTAAAAAAAAAACTATTTCTGCGATCTTCCGTCGTTCCAAAGCTATTTTTGTATTTGTTTTTAATTTATTTTGACTTTTGGTGGACCTATGGTTTTACAAATTTCATTTTAGAATGGTTGATTTGTTATAGCGAAAACACGTGAGTCCCCGTTACTGCTTCTAGAGACAAATCCATATTAGAATTACTGTCACAAAGGCGATCTGTAGTTTATAAGAGGCTTTCGAACACATACACGGTCAAAAACAATACGATAAGCAAAATATGAGGCACTCAATACAGCATAAGATGTATTTCCTGTTCTACTCTCATACCTAGATACTTTAAATTAACGTCTGTAATATTTCAACATTGGACTGAATTGCAAAAAAAAACGCACTGTTAAAATGTACAGAATTATGTTGGCAATTATTCGAATATATTCATACTTCAAAAGCATCCTTATTATTTCGCAAAGAGGGTCATGCCAGGGGTCGGCCAACCTTTTGTCGCTCGCGGGGCAAAATTAAGGGTTTCAGGTCATTCCGGACGGGCCGGACATATTTTCAGAAATTTAAAACCGAAAATTATTCTTTTCATTATATAAATCAAGCATTGATACATCTTTCTAATAGAATATGGATTTATTTCCTCATTACATTGCATCTCAAAAAATTCGACTTGAATATTTTCTGCGTCATAGAATCATTTGTCTAATTATAATTAATTTATAGGCTCATCAAACGAGTAATTGTGAGTTATATACTTATTAGGTTATAATATAATTCAATTCACACGTGTCTCACAATAAATTATGTTACGTAAAGAATATAATCGCCAAAACAGCTGTTTTGTTACTATAATTCGATGAAGCGTCGCGGGCCGGATCCGGCCGCCTATCATTTTTATAAGATGGTTCGCACCTTCAGTGTGTTGATTTTATATTTATGTCTGAGGAAGTCTAACCTTGGTCCGACAAAACGTTACAGAAATATATTTGTGTTAGTGTGCAGCAAGACTCTGGAAGAATGTACTTTTAGCTCCGTCGAACACGAAGGATAAATTAGAATAAAAATACTTCTCATTTCAACGCTGTGTCGCAAAGCCAGAGAGCGTAACGGTTATGCAGTAGAGTCGTAGACGGACCGAAGGCATTCATTCAAGTCGTTGAAGGCCGTTATGCCACTGGAATTAGATCAGGGACAAAGAACTTTAAAGTTGAGTTAAATTTAATGGATTCTAGAATAGGGACATAGTAGACTACCTTAGCTAACTGTATGATGATACATTACCCACCTTGCAGCCTTGCTGTATATAGATCGCTTCAATTACATAACTCATTCTGTCCAATTCTTGCTTCAAATACTTGTACGATAATTGGTAGATTTCCACATGACCATGCATATATCTTACATGATGTCATTTTGAACAAGAATCACAGCCTGTAAGTCCAAATTTGCGTTGCTCAGCGGCGTGAACAACGCTAAACTTAAATGTAAATCTGAAAGTTATCGGTATTCAGTCTGATGCTATAAAACGTGGTTGAAGGTCGGATCGTTGAGTTTTATATTTTGTTTGAAACTGAGACGATTTAAAACAAACGTGTTGTTTGCTTCAACTTGCACACTATCGCTCCAAGACGGCAATTTGTATTACGCGATGTCGAGGATGAGCAGCGATCGAGGTATTTCAACTTTCAGTCGTGTTTCAGGGTTCAAAACAAACACCAACTCTCAAATTTGCTCTGTTTTTTTTCGACTTTCCACTCATTACGGATTTTCACACATTGACACAATCAAGCACCAGTTTGTCTATTCATCGATAACCTGTGATATCAGTATATATTATATTCGCTTATTCTTAAAAGCTCAAGCTAACTTGGAATTGTGAAATGAAATTTTTTGATTGAAATACACGCCATTATGATGAATTGTGTTACCAAAATATGCTATAAAGCATTTATTGATTCAATTCGGAATGCAAATAGCAAATGATCACGGCTACATACTAAAAGCTGTTTCGTCCTATCTCCCTCCTATCTTAACCTGTCTCATTTGAAATGCTTCAATTACCGGCATGGTGAATCTGTATTAAATCAGTATCTCATTGTGATTTTTGTGCTAGCTGTAACCAGAAAATCTAATAATAATTACATTGTTGTGTCGATTATTTAATTTTCTGTATAACGTCTCGATTAGTAATGGGAGTAATTATTGCAGTTTTTGTCGGGTGGTTATTGCAATACCTTTCATCAAAACAAATCGTCGTTGCGGCTTTTCTTTTAGCAACAACCTTGTTGGTGTTATTCAGGTAAAGTGAATATTAATGTTCCATCGAATCATAACTAGTAATAGGAGCTTGGAGTATTACTTCGAATTGTTGTCGCAATTTTTTGTTGATGCGAACTTCCGCAAATTACCCCTGCGATATCTCATTTTTGCTTAGTCTTTAATCAATGTTTGAGAACTCATTTTAACTTGTTTTATCCAATTGGTCATAAATATTTCTACAAACATCAGGTATTGATTCAAAATGTATTGCTGTTCAGAATGAACTGTTTTCATGGATTTCTCCAGCGAAATCTCGCCCCACATTTCCGAAAACCAGGGACCGGATTTTTCGGATTTCTTTGTCGTCAGTTTTTGAAAGGAAATCGACCACTTGAAGAAACAGCATTTCGATCGCTCGATGCTCAACCACACCACAAAATTCTTGAAATAGGTTTTGGATATGGTACGTAAATTAATAACTTTAGTTTGCTTGTATATTCGCTAACCCTAACTTGTGGATAAGTCCTTAGACAATGAATTTGTTATACGTTTATATATTTTTAAACGTCGACATTGCACTGCCGAAATACAATATTAGTTTTTAGCTCGTGTTTCTTCTGGCACTAATTTTTCTTGGGTTTTACTTTCAGTATGAACGTGCAAAGTTCCCATTAAGTTTATTCCCATTACTCATTTCATTGAACGATTCACTGATAATTCGGTCCATAAAATATTTATCCTACGTTTTCAAACCTGCCCTTCGTTACATTTGTGTTCCATTGCGTATAGGTCACGGAATATCTTACGCTTTGGACAATGGAATGAGAGATGGTAGTGGAGTGGTATACGGTATGGACTTTTCAGCCGAAGCTTGTGACCATGTCAGGAAGTTACTTATAAACGATTTGAAGAGTGGGAAATTGGAAATAATTTTTGGAGATGTTGCAAATATACCGCTGAAAGAATCGACTATAGATAGAGTCTTTCACACAAACTGCTACTACTTTTGGCCAGAACCATTGAATGTTTGTCGGGAAATACTGCGTGTCATGACGCCTGGTGGTATCATGACGACTGGTATAGAGCCAGAGAAAGTTAAACGAGCCGCATTGTCGGGAGTAATAGAACCCTGCCAGATTGATCCCGATTTTTACATAGAGTGCTTAGTTGAAGCTGGATTTGAACACGTACGTATGGAAGAAGCATCTTATCAGAGAAATGGACATAAAGTGATTTTTGCTCAGAAAAAAAAAGTATGACTTGTGTACCGATCAGATATGCCAATCAGCATTACATACGTTGCCATGTGTAGCAGAAGCTTCAGAATTTTTACATTGATTTTTTTTCATTTGGTGATCTCTTGCATTCGATTTTTATATGGTACTCTTCAAAGATTTTCTCAATTAAACATAATATTATGCAATTCAAGAGCCCTGCTGCCCACTAACACATATGTATTTCTGTAACGTTTCGTCTGACCAAAATCGGACTACCTCAGGCAAGCAGTTTACAACAATGACCTATTTTTATTCCTGCTACAGCATTCTTTCATTATACGCATACGGATCCACCAGCGCAAAGGCATTGAGGAAGAATTGGGAGTTAGTCTCGCGCAACCTCTACTGATAGAAACATATTATTTATCGGATTTTATTAATAAAACAATGACTAACGCAAAAATTAACAATATATTCAATTTGTAGAAATTATGTTCTGTTGTAACGTTGGTATATTCTGTACATATATAGCACGGGTCATTGTAGTTTGTAGGCAGCAGCCAATATCAGTATCGATACAATGACGACGATTCCCAAGTATCCAAATCTGTCAAGTTTAAAAGAATATATAAACATAATATTATATAAACACAAAATTCGAGTTTTTTTAGATAGAGTGAGTCAAATTTGCGTAATGAGCATTATTCCGTGACAATGTCATTGTGGCTTCATTCCATACCAGATTGCTGAAGAACAAAGCTGTTTCTTATCTTTTGTCTAAGTCCATGAATCTTTGGTTCAGGGGTGCAAGCATTGCATATTGTTAGGTAACAGACCGCTGATGTTTTCCACAGCAGTTACAATAAGAGTCTGAGACTAAAAGTAAAATATTATATTGGATTCAATGGAAGTTACCACTTACTTGTTGGAACTCTCTTCTTTGTCATTTTTTGTTTCGCCATCCTTGTCCGCCTTCGTTCTAAATTACAGTCAAAGATATTGTTAAAACAATTTTACTATCCCAATATTCGCTAGATAATTGCCCTCGTATACATAACCATACATTTTAAAGAATTAATTCTGTGTTATTGGTAGGCCAGCTCTCTGCGAGTCTGACTAGGCTATGTCCAGCTCAAACATAATGATTAATTTGTGTGAATAATTAAATAGAGGAACGAGAGCAGAGAACCAAAGGCCTATTCAACTTTTAAATATTCTGCTAAATATCTGGTGATATTATTGAGTGAGCCGGGCAAAGATGTCCGGAACTACTGAGAACGATCGTCGAGAAAGTAAAATTTGGAAAACATGATTCAGAAATCAAGTGTTAATTTGGGTAAATTGTAAATATTCTAATATAAGTTTACACTTGACAAATCCAATTGGCGTTGAAATATTACATATATACTTCATCACAATTTCTTGAAATTTGCTTCTTTTTTTTAGAACCTCTTCGTCGTTCAACTTGTTGTTCAATTCCTTATTTTTTGGCCTTTTTTGTTTATCCAATGTTGTTGGGAATTTTGAATTTTCAATTCCGAACTCTACAACTTCAAGTAAAGTCAGGAAATATGGTTTTTCATCAGTTTCCGAATCTTGATCATTTCGTAGATTCCCAACCATCTGTAATACAATGTTGGCGGATCTGGTTTAATGATCTATGTGCCTGGTTTTTGTGTGTTTTATAGTCCAAAGCGTTTTCAAATTACTATCAAAACATGAAGTTATATAAATTATGAGAAGTATTAATTATAAAATTGCATACGCTATAATTGCCTGGAACATCACATCTTATTAACCAATCAAGTGTGCTACTTGGACTCATGACACTTTTTCCATTTAGTAGTGATCTTGGTTCATCAAGATAAATTCCATCAAACGCGATTTCTCTGGTCTTGCAGGTTTCCCCTGTTGCAACATTGAACACTTTCAACTCGAGCGTTAATTCTCGATCTGAATTGATCATCCTATGATGAAGTAAACAAAATATAAAAATTATTACAATGCGAATGGAATCTAGTATCGCTTTTCAGATTTGATATCAGATGGTGTCTGTTTTCTCAAAAATGGTGATATTGCCAATATTAGAGGACGGTCTTCTGTGATTCATCGAGATTTGAAATCTATTTTGAGAAAAATGATCAACAGAACTAATATTTCCCAAACAATATTTTAAACTCATTGTGTGTTTATTTGACCGAGTCCGGTATAACGCTGGAGACAAATATTGAACTGATTGTTATGCCAATTGATATAATATTATGATTGGGATTATTGCCCAGATATTGAATATTAAAGTTCTGCATTCAATAGCAATATAATAATTTAAACCGTTACCTTATTCTCTTTATTTGGCCTCGAGCCATTGTTAATGTTGGTTGGATCTGGCCGTTCACCGTAATTGCGTCGATGTTTTGAAACGACCACTCAATTACGTTTTTGTTCCATCCAGACGTTCTTTAAAACAACGTGAAATGAGATACATATTCGATTAAAAATATATGTCGTATTAGTTATGGTTATATCATCACTTCAAATTCAAACACACATAGCAACATCTTTTTTCGTTTTTGTTCCATCCAGACGTTCTTTAAAACAACGTGAAATGAGATACATATTCGATTAAAAATATATGTCGTATTAGTTATGTTTATATCATCACTTCAAATTCAAACACACATAGCAACATCTTTCTTAAATAAAAAAATTTTGTTTTCTACCAGGCGATAGTATAAAAAAAAACATTTACATAGGAGACGGGTCCAACCTTTCACCGTCTATATTCTTATGGTGAATATCGGAATACTCAGTAATTGAAATACCAAAATATTACTATTGATCATTATTATTTTCGTTAAATTGTGCAGCTAGTGTTATGATATACCATTTTTGTTGCTGGAAAACAACATAGGAAAATGTTACACTGTTATTTAAAAGATTGTGATTTCTAACATATGGTGACTATTATAGAAATACTATATTCTACGGTGTAAAATGTGCCAGTTTGAGCGTTGACAAATAATGAGAATTGTTCACCAATCACGACTGACGACCTATCAGTTTTATAAACAATTCATATTCTTAACAAAGGTTATTTGTATTTTATACCATATCTTCATATCGTCGTCACAAATCGCAGTCATGATTAACATTTACAAAATGTCACTTTCTGTCAAGTAAATTATTTAAACTTACGGTCACTAACGCACTGTTAAATATATGTTAGGAAAGAAAAACAATATAGGCCTACGAGTACACACACTCACTCTAAATATTGCGTAGTTCCCGGCTTCCCTCTATATTTTTTCATTACAAGGTTTGTGCTAAACAGCATGATGACGTCATGTTGACAGTTTATCGGACATGATACGTCAGTAAGTTCAAATGGTGTACTGTCTGGATTATCTTCTACAATCAAGGCTCCGATGAGACCAGATGAAAACTGAAAAGTTGAAATTCAATGTGAATTGAAAAAAAATAATCAAAAAAATTTAAACGCGAGGACATTTGACACCTTCATATTAATAGGTTTGATTATTCCTAGTTATTAATTTAAAGACATTGAAATGAGAATATGAATAACTAATCATGGCATATACCTTTAAATTATAGAATCCACCATTTCATTACCGCGTCTCAAAAATATGAACAATAATCATCTGTAATACACTATTTCTGGAATTCAACAATCAGATGGTGTCAAATTCTCACTATCACATATTATAAAGTACCTATCTATATAGTATTTTGTCAAGTTATTATAAGTTACTATCTGTTGAATCTTAAACATTTTTGAGAATACTGTTTTATTTTTTGACATATCACATGATCAATATATCAAGTCGCAATATCTCATTACAACATCTCATCAACGTACATGCGCGACTGAAAAATTCCACTTGATTTGAACTTGAACAACGAACCTACCTCTGAGTTGTGGCTGGTTATGTGTTTACTGACCTGATTATATACCGGTGCCTCAACTTCCGTTTCATACCAAAATGTCCCAGATGGATGATCTGGTAATATTTTAAATGAATACGTATATGCATCTCCAGGTTCAACGCCATGGTCCTGAGCATTCAATATCAAATCCTAGAAGATATTTTCAAATTTTTCGTGACTAAAATACAATACTGATTAGAATTACAGCACTGATTCATCGTGAAGATATATCTCGCTTTTGATGAATGTTGTAACATTTATTCGATCTTCAGTGGACAACGAAATTACAAAACAACCGACAAAAAGCCAAGTTCATTTTTTATTGTCTTTTACTTTCTATTATCTATTTTACTATATCAATAACAGTCACTTGACATGAGTTTGTGGAAATAGTTTTTCGAAATGATGTTTTTAATGAATGACATGAATCAGACAAGTAAATTATAATACCAACTTCATCACTTAGTTGCAATCCGTGTGTTCGCACTTTCATAACGTTAGTCAACGAGTCTTTGTTGATATTTGGTGTCATATTGTTTACCTGAGAATATAATGAAAGACTTGAACATGTAGACATAGTACATGTATCGCTTACATATATTTTATAATCAGCTTTCAATTAATTAGTATAAATAGAGTTTTTGCAGCATTGTTCAAGAATATTGGGCTCATGCAAATTGTGTCTCGCGTAACAATATCATCAATGCATGCGGGTTTTGTCGAATGAGTTGAAATTTATTACATTAAAGTATTGGTAATTTCTCAGTGAAGACTTTGCCTGTTTATTTTAATTACCAGTTTGATTGAAGCCGTGTCACTTGGAAGCAATCTCCATGTCGGAGGACATCGGTTTCTTTTGTACGAAAGTTGGCGTAATTTCAACCAGTCCCATCTGTGCGTGATGACGTCAACATTTAAAGTAAGTCTTAAAAATTGTCGATGGGAAACGTAACTTTGACACTGTGAAAGAACATTTCCGCCTGGAAATAAAAAAGGAAAGAATTGGACTCCACGGATACCCGAAACAGTTTTATACACCTTGCTGCATGAAATGGATACTCAAATATTTAAACTTTCTTTATTATTCATTGTCATTCGCAAATATCTAAATTAGTTGTGTCACAAATTTACAAGAAAACTTGCGGTCATACCAATATACGCCCGTAAAAAAAAAACTCTAATTACAAACCTAAATTTCTTCATACGAAACAAAATGCTAACAATATAATGAATAAGATATTTACACCAGAAATACTCACCACGTAACCTGCATGGATTCTGTTGATCACATGAAGTAGCAGATGCAAATATATCCCGTGCAATCACAATGATTAATAACAAGAAAGCAAAGAAAAATTGTAACCTCATATTTTATATAACTTATATCACAAGCTTAATAAAATTGTATGAGTTAACGGATTAGAAATGTCAAAAAATTGCATCAAAAGAAGCATATTGTATTTTATTCTTGCTGATTATAAAAAAAACTACATAGTTATTCCGGATCCCTTCGTTCAATGAGAGCGGCGGTGCAACTACCGTTCTCGCAGTTCCCTAAGACAAAACAATGCTGACTAAATAATTCTAAGAAGTATTCCAATCAACTAAACGTCCTAACAAATCCGTTTCAGAATTTAACAATTGTCTTTCAATGTTTTATTCTATGCAGTCGAAATAGGTAAAATTAGGAATGATGCGATCAAATTGAAATAACGTTATTCTGAAATAGCATTTCGAGTTTTATACTGAAGATTCAGCAGAGAATCATTAATTATCAATAAAAGATATTCTGTGTAATGGATTTATTCAACTAATTATTGTCGAATTCCTGAAATTTAGAGAATTGTGTCGCTCAAATAATAATAGTGACGTGACACGAGTCGCTAATTATAGGAACGTAGTATTGAGGCAACACGATGGACAACCATACGACGTAACAATTTGACGTGTCTGTAAATTGACCTAATTTTCTTGTAACTAATTATATTTAATTGCTAAATTAAGAACAGATTTCAATTTGCCAGACTTTAACCACGTAGGGATTACAATTTAACGATTCAATATATGAGTAGACAATTTGGTGAGCAAAACAATTATTTTGACAATTGTTTCTGATGTACGTCGAACCTACTTTGATTACATCATTCTAACATTCTTTGCTATTGCTTAAACATATGATTTGTTAATAAAATCCAGAGTTTATGCCCTTTAACAAAAATAGATGTTATAGGAGCGAAAATAATTGAACCAATATATATGCACAATATTTGGTACCCCCAAATTGCACCATGATGTCTTCATCTTTCAAATATACATACTTAATACATAGTATACATTCCTAATGAAAAGTCTCTGAATTGATATTTCCCTCTGTTCTTTTTTCATTCCCTATTTTTCCAGTGTGGGACCAATGACAAAAAATTAGGTTTTCATCAATATTCAAACTTGACATCAAGCCTCTCCGCAGTTCGATTTATACTAATGTTCAACTCGTCAACGATCAAATATATAACATTCTCTACAATTTCCTGTAAGATAAAATCTGCTGTTCAACTTATCGTTATTATAGCTAGCGTCGGATGATCAATGAATGTTGCATGTTTGCGTGGTTTTAAAGTTGCAAAAATTGACAAACCCAATCAACGACGGACATTTCACGACAAAGTGCTTACTCAATCTTTAAATTTCGGAACTGCCTAATGCCGTTTAAAAACATGCGTGAAGTAATTTGATGCAAGGCGGTTGATTATCATGATACTCAGATCAATGTTATTCAACAGTGCGCTTCTCATTGTAGCACATAAATGCGACAAACAAATTTCTGTGGACCTTGCGGACGAGACATCGCTAAATTGATCGAAATTTGGGATGATATTAAAATTTTCCCCGGTTACGATTTCGTGATAAAGATTTTGTGTTTCCATGCAAAAAAACATATAGACCACCGCAATCAGATCAAATTGACGCAAAGTACAAAATGGCACCAATTTACGCCTCTTCACATTGACATCGTTGTGTCTTCAAAATTTCATGAACAATTTATCACGGTGAAAGTTCGCTATGATTGTGCAGCAGAGGGTCAAACAATGTGGTATATTTGTCGGCAGTAGGATAATATCTTTTCTGGTATTTTCAGTTTATTTCAGAAATCAAAGATCAGATGACCATGTAGTGTAAAGGTGAATCGCCCACTGCGTTCCCCAGAAATGTGTTTGATGATGCCATATGTGATATTTAGAGTTGCAAGAAAAGTTGAACGTTATTCTTTTATTATAACAATAGCCATACTCTAGTGACCTAGTCAATCATTCATGCTCAGTTTTGCACAGTAAATAATTTTAGAGCGACGCGGCAAAAATAATTATAATATTCTAAGTATTGTATTCTATTAATAAATATAATATTATACAACGCAAACAATAGAAAGATACTTCAGATATCTGTTCTAATTTATTTGAAAAAAAAGATTGAAGTAAGAATATGACTGGTATATATAATATTCAGCGCTGTTTATAACGGTACTCTCCCCATTCGAGCTACCTGCCTTGACTCTATAACCTTGCGTGAAACAGACATTATATATAGTAGCGAAAAAACATCTTCTAATAAAAAACGCATCACTACTCATAATGTTGCCATATTAAGATTAGGAACAGTTTTGATTTAGTGTTCCTAAAACCTTTTTGAATGAGTGAAAAAATAATTCCATTGTATGTCTTTGTCACAAAATATTGTTGGCACTCACGGTATTGTTAGACTGCAAATATCTTACCGCGAAATCTTTAACTACTTTTTAGAGACTGAAATCACTAAATTCACACGGCTGAGATATCGCAAATACTACTTGAATATGATTAATACTATTGTTATCATCTTACGTCACTGATTTTCGATATACATTCTTAGGCATATTATACTATTTTCAGTCTGCATTCACACAACCTTAAGTTTGGTGGCACTCATACGTCTTTTCTTCCTAGAATCCACCCATTTTACCGACGTGAAATGCTCTGTTCAATTTTTTTTTCGTCGTCAGGTATGTTGTTGAAAATTTGATGAGAGATTGAGCGGTGAGTTTAAGACTTTCAAAAACGTCGCATTTGCATAGTGTACTGATATCACCGCAATCACGCAGTAATAAATGGGCATTCGGTTCCCAGCTGGATATATACGAGGGAATACGCTGTAGTGCATTATGAAATATGGAATAAAGTTTGCCTTCAAATAGGAACTAATTTGAGTAGATGTACGAATTAACTACTGTGATTAGGAAAACATTTTGCATAAGCCATTTAAAAACCACAGAGCATCCATATCTGCCAGACTTCGCCAATCATTACTTATTAAACAACTTTGTGACTCGACAGCAAGGACTTTCAATTATATGCTAGACACTTATATCAAGTATTTCATTTCCCATTTGAATATTATCTTCTTAAAATTTCACTTTCCTCGTATATCTTAGTAAGCTTAGGATTTATCACATTCTTTCCATTATCTTATAAAATTTTTAAAAATGCAAACGTATTGTTGCGTACTTTATCTGTAATATTTGCAGTTCTCAAATTGACACGAAGTTAACGACAAATAGTTATCTTCTGAACATTTATACTGATTCCGCTCATGTTTGTCGATTGTTTGTTTATGTCGTTAAATGGAGTAATTGCCGTAAGGGTAATTGTTGCCAGATTGGCGATTCTTCGATGGCGAGCTGACATGTTTTATCTTTGGGTTAAGTTACGTTGATACTATTCAATGGATTTCATACGCAAATTGAGAGGTGTATGAATTCTTTTTATTTCGTGGCCAGTGCTTTTTACAAAAATGCTTTTATTATTAATTATTCCACTCTTATTAGTTATGATATTTGGACAATATCCCGGGCTAAGTAAAATACGTATCCATCCATGAAGCTACGTTTCGGTATACAGCTATACTTCTCAGTTTCTCTTAAAGTAAAATGGCAGGGTTTTGCAGCAGAACACATATCATATTAAGTGTTTGTTGACTTATCTAAGTCAACAGGGTTGAAACATTTAGAAGTTTTGACCCATATTCCATGAAATCAAATCTGTTATGGATGTTAAACTGAGATTGATCAGAAATACGAAGGCATGCATATAAAGCTATCGCTTTTTGCTCTCGCCAAACTGCTCCTCCTCACCGCAACAATATTAGATGAACTGTCACGAACAACCAACCATACAAATACATTCGTATAAATGTAACATTTGACGCATGAGTCTACGTAAAACCGAATTATATAAATATCGAGTTCTGCCGGCATGGAATAGTGGCATACAGAACACGTTGTATGACAGCATATCATAAATATATACTTTCTGTCAAAAGTTCAGCCTCATTCTCAAATTACAAACATTATGACAATATTTAACGCTTCAATAATAACGCGAGATTAAAACAGTAGTAAAATTACGACATTTCATATGATGCACCTTCGGAACGTTTTCTATTTTCTAAGTGCTGGACAAAAATAAAATCTGTTGTGATAAATCAATCAATATATTCGAGACCAGCCAAAATAATTCGGTCTCGAATTTAAGATTAAAATCTATAAAACGTTCCTGGAAACAACTTGCGTGTGAATGTTGGCCACGTTCATTTATATTACACAATGAAGCCCAGTGTTGATATGTAGTTACATTTTCTGTCATCATTTTTCATTTCAAACATTTATGGTTATACATAAGTCATGACATATCGAACAATATTAAATGTAAAGCACTGATCGATTTGATAATTACTATTATTAAGACAAAAAACTTGAAGAATATGCTTTTGAGAGATTAAATAAATAAATATTTTGTTGAATCATCCTGTTCATCTGTTATATGTATAGTAAATTTTAATATCACGTTTTTTTTTCTTTGGCCTTTTGAAAAACAAAATTTTTTAATTATTTCTATTTGGTTTTTCATACGTATAATGCGGTTTCCTGCGTATTCGAAATTTATTATTATGCTCCATTTATAATGAAATTGAAACGCACGAATATAGACTAATGACAGAAGTTTGGCATGTTAATGTTCGCGCGTCTCTATCATCGCAGGTTTTCTTATTAACCTCAGTAACTCGTCATCCAACGTCTACCTGGCTCGAATGTTTAGGCTAATTGACGAGTTGAAAAGTTCAACAACAAGGTACCGTTTTTTACGCCAATTAGCTTATGACCCACTATTTTTCCGATTAAATAGTTTGAAACGTGCACAATGTTATGCTACGTAATAGTTGACATTGACAGACTGCGATAATGTGCTTTATGTATATTTCACATATTTAATTCCTTCCCCTCTAAGTGGCATTTATCCAGCGGTTTTTCAGCTTACTACGATTCTCTGATCTTGTTGATAAATTCAAAAGTGCGTCTATTTTATATACTATTATTGTAATGATCG